CACCAGCGTCAGCAGCTTCCATTTATTTACGGGACGCGTGGCGGGGCCAGCGAATGGCGAACCGTTTTATACGCGCGCGGAGAGCCGGAGAGAAGTCTCGTTCAGAATCAGGCCGAGTCGCCGGTACACGCTCATTGTCCTGGGTACGAACAATGAGTTACCGGCGCCTTTATCGTCGCGGCGCCGCAAGACGCTCCGTAACGAGACAGCGCGATGGGAATACGAGATTGTCGCGTGCGTTTCTGCCCGCGTGTCTTCGCACACGTACACAATCGTCCGCGCGTGCGCGCGCACACGCACACACACACACTGTAGTCAGCTTTTTGGCAGTCGCACGATACCTCATATTCGCCTCGTCGCCCTTTGTTGGCGGGGAAAATCGTCGTAAGCTGAATGCTCGCGACAATAAAGGATCCGTACGTATGTACACGCGGTTAGGGACTCTATTGCTTCGCGTATTGCATAACACATACGAACTGTATGTGTACGCACACGTACACACACTTGCGCGTGTATATAAGCGCGACGTGATGCTTTTATAAGTCTTTCTCGTGCATTTCGTTATAAATAAGCGTTCTCAGAGTATGAATCAGGCAATGACATTTCTTTATTAATACTGTGAGAAAGGATTCTGCATTATTCCAAAATGGAAAAAATTGTTTAAGTCAAATTGATTGAAACTGTGATAGTTTGTAGCTTGTTTGTAGACGTTGATAAAAAATTTCAAGATGGGCATATTTTGCTATAACGCAATTTGAAAATTGCTATTTTTAGTCTAATCAGACTGAAAAGTATTTTTGTAGTCTACCGGTTTTTAATGATATTAGATATTTATATATGTGTCTATGCGTAATAATATCAGACATATCAATAGAATATAAGTATCACACAGTTATATCCACACCATTCCCTCTCTTCATGTACATTTACAGAGGCATAAATTTATTCAATAGTAAATAGAAAGTGTATATACGTGTTTAACTATATGTATAAATGCTTATAATAGATCTGTTTTCTATGATTAAATCAATGTACACTTTTGGATCTTAAAGTGAAATATGTTTGATATTTGTCGAAAGCGAGAAAAAGACTTCTAGTGCAGAAACAGAAAACAGACCAATAGTTTAAAAAAACTAATGGTGTACTGTTATAAAGAGATATTTTTTAGAAGTATCTCTAATTAGATCCAAAATAGTAACTTTAATTCATGTGATGCTACAGCAAAATCTGTTCATTTTTATGGACAGTTATAGCTGTATTTATGAACACATTTTTTTATCAGTATCTCATAAGTAAAATGTCATGGCTAATTTAATTGATAATAAAACTTTTTCCATATAACTAATGCGTTCTTTTGTAAAATCTTATCAATTTCACGCTTTATTTTGATCGAAAAGATTGACTTTTCAATTCGAAGTAATCTTGTAAACGAGAATTTGAAAGGACATAATATATATATCACATAATTTTCCTCGAAAAACTTATTAAGCTGAAACCTACTTGAGGAAAACTATCATTAACTTTGTTTATCTATTTATTTAAATTATAGATTACCCACATGTGTGGACTCTTCAAGTTTTTCTCTGCTTCCAAAATTCACTTTTTACAGTTTACGGTACGAACGTGTCGCAATTAATATCTCATTCTGTCTCAATGCAACTCACGTCGACTAACGCCGCTGCATTAATTGATATTTGAAAGTTCGGTGAAAGTGTGTGACCACTCTAAATCATGCATGCCGATCGCCATGTCGTTAAAGAGCATTTAAAGCACGTACGTGCATAGTAAAGCCGGATTCCTACTACGCGAGCGAGCGCAAACAAGCGCGAAATAACTCTTTAATGAACGAATGTCGCTGTATTGGCGGTGACGTTCATTCATGTTTGTTCGCGCTCGCTTACATAGTTTAGTTTAACGATATCAAAAACGAATTGACGATAACGAAAAAAAAGACTGAGATCGATCGTAGGATTCCTAATCGCCTACGGCGATAGTGCACATTTTCCGCGATTACATTTATCTTAAGATACATTAAAAAAATATATATTTTTTACACTGTCCGCCATTTTTTTTGTCCGCTTCGCTAATTGGTTGCTGCTTCCGCTGCTTGACGCTGTAATATGAATGCACCTTCACTCACGCGTTCGGAGCTTTCGGTTACGGCTCATTTTGTCGCGTTAACGCAACAAGCTCACGAGTGAACATCGATGTATGAGGCTTCGTATACACGGATGCCAGGACTCGTCCAGGACGTGTCTGGACATCGAGCGGCTTGCTAATGCGAGCCCCGAGCGCGGTGCAGAAAATGAGCGTATGCATATGCGCCGCGGTGCACAACGCCGAGAAAATCGAGAGCTCTTGCGGTGGAAGGTTTAACAGAAAGTGGCATACGTAAAAAAGAGAATATTCATGCAAAATTTACTATCAAGGAGGATAACAAGCGTTGCTCAATGTTATACGCGAAGTATGATGTAGGAGGTGAAAAAAAGGGATAACATCGTTAAGTATCTGTCGATATGATTGCGGTCGAAATGGGACGCGGGAGAATTGGCTCTTATGGAAGACACGAGAAATATGGGAACGCAAAGAATACACGGAAAAGTTTTTGAGAAAGGAAAGGTGCACCGCTTGATCGTATATACAGGAAAAGTTCTTTGTGAAATGTTGAAGCACCGAAGCGTTTTGATGGAAAAATGTTTTCTCTCGTGTGATCCCTTGTTTAAAATCACGGCTTTGAAAGTCTTGATCTGAATATCAGTGCGATCTTCTTTCTATGTATGTGTGCGAAAGACTAATTATCTTGATATTAGGTTTAGATCTGAGGGGGCAATTAAATAGCGACAATAGAATTTTATGTGAGAATGAAGATGTAATAAAAGCATGGATACGAATTTAGTTCGCGATACGAAAATAATGCGAATCAATCTCTATAGAAAATTATAATAAAAGAATCACAGAAGATGAGAAAGAAGACTCACGATAACATTGCACGATGGTATAAAAAAAGCACAAATTATTAAAGTTACAGCATCAAAAAAAGCACAAGTAATTAAGTTATAGAAATTATCATAGAATTTTTTTTTAGAAAGGAGGAAACAATTTTTAATATCCACAAAAGGATATTGCGAATGTTATCAATTATCTTTTTCGTACTTTTACCGGTATTCACATATACAATGCGATTTTAGTGGGTGTTGGTGAAAATTCAACATTAACATTTCTTCTTTAGCAAATTATTAATTATAATTTAACGAATATTCATGCTATCTTATTTTTTTAATAGATTCTACTTTTTATCATCTAATTATGACAATATCGCCAAGCAATGAAGCGTTTGTCAAACCGCAATGATGCGACGAATAAATAGATAATTATGATGCACGAATGACTGTACCCACCATCCTCTGCACATTATTCCTCTGCCAACTGCTGCTCCCTCGATCTAGCCATCCACTCACTCACCAATCGATCGAAAAAAAAACCGTAGCTAATTACCGCCATCGCACATCGATTAATAATGCGACACGATTCATCTGCACGGCATTTGACTCGGTACTCCCGTGCATTCACACACGTACGCATGTTCAACTTCCAACATGTAGAAAATACGCTGCAACATTTTTATACCGATGATCAAGTATCAATTTAAGAAAATCTAACTTACATATTTATGACGCGGTACAATACAAGTATATTTTATAGCCTGTATTCAGAACGCGCTTACAACGATGTTAGCACGCTAACATGCTATAATTTACGTTACGCATACTATACAATTTCAGAGGTAAAAGCGCGCTTTTATCGATAAAAGCGCGTTCTAAATACGGGCCTATAAGTATAACCATCCATTTGCAATCTAAGTCTTTTTTATACAAGCGAATCGATATCTGTATCTGTAAGAAATTTGTATCTTTAAGGGAACGTTGGATTGATGGCTGAACTTGATCGAGGTCGATAGTACAGACCTTTTTAAATTTCAAATTTGATAATAGTGATATCTTTCATTCATTTCCTATATTTATTATATGTATATCGTTGTGTCTCACTCAAACGCATTCATCTGTTCTTATCTAACATGTTGCAATGCATCTCTTGTAAAATTGAACACCTACTACTAGACACAATTATTGCTTTGTTTATCATTCCGAGTCTTCGCTCAGCGTTCGTGTACACGTCATTTGCAGATCGATATAATTCTTTCTTTTGAAGCTTTTAATCTTAGTTTTATAAACTCAGTATTATTTGTGTATGTAATGCGCTTAATGCTGCACTGTCGTTTGGTCCATACGAACTATGAAACTTTTGTATTAAGGAACCATCTACGTCAGGTGACAGCTCTACGAATTGAAAAAATGGAAATTTTTAACTTTTTCTTTCTATTTTAGTATGAAGTCTATTGCAGCATTAATTTTGCATCTACTTTAATCCTGTAAAAGGATGTTTGATTCCGTAAATTTGGATTCATATCGATCTGCAAAATCCTGATAATTTGGCCACTTCAGTATTCTTTTAAAGGAAAATAAATTTGTTGCTTAATATTATCGTAATTGGATAATGAAAAATAAGTAGAATCTATTTTAAAAAACTAAAATATCATGATTTCGTATTTTGCAATTAGTAGGCTACTAAATAAATAAGAAACGTTAATAAATGTTTAATTAAAATGTGAAATTTTTATTTTAAAAAATTGCCACTAAAATCGCATTCTTCGAAATAAAATCGAGATCTTTTACTGGTAAGTTATACATTTTTAAACAAATTTTAATTTTAATTTATTTTTCTTTATTTTTGCTTAAATTTCAATTTTTATCAAATAAAGGTTTTAACACTGTGAAAAAACTATTTGATAATTATAGTAACAGACGTATTAAAAAGTAATTCTAAATTTTTCCACATTTTTTTTAAATCGAAATAGAACAGGAAAAAGATTTGAGATAGAAAAAAAACCTAGATTGCAACGGAGGATTAATACAAGTATATAATAATCAAACGATATGCTCTTGCTACTATTAATATACTTTACATAAGATACACTTCTCTTGACATTCCCATATGCATTTTGATATGATATATATTACATACCATGCAATCGTCACGGATCACAGCCGAGAGACGCGCACATTGATTTACCCGACAGTTATTCGATGTTCTGTCACGAAGCCTTCATGCGACATTATCGAAACGTAAGTGAGCACAGACACGTATTTTTTCTAAAAAGTGAGCGGTAGTCACGGGCCAATGTTACGATGACTTTGACTCTGCCACAATCTGCCACAAACGCGCAATGTTCATTAGTAAAATATTAACAATTTGCATGTGATTATGTAACGACGATTCTTTTTAGAATTTGAGACAAAAATGATAGAGACAGAAGAAAAAAATAAAGGAGATTGTGTAAAAATAGCCAATTTTAACCTTGAACGGACATCAAAAATACAGTTATTATCTTTAAAGTCCATATATTCATAAAAGAAAACTTATTTATTCAAGGAAGCTTGGGAAATCTTTTCAAAATCATAAAATAAATTGTTCGAATGCTTTACAAAAAACTCATTTTGTTTCTAATGACAGATTTCAAAACAACAATGTGTTTACATTTAACACATATTGGACCATTAAATACTGTAAGAATACACTATTAGAGAGATTCGCAAATAAATAAATATACAGGATGTTTCATTTTAACTTTTTACACCAAAATATCTTGAAATGTATAAAAGATACAAAAAAATATTTAAAACAAAAGTTCGAAACAGGAACATAAGAAAATTGATTTGGGTGGCGCCACCAAGGTTAGATCAAGATCACTTCCAATTTTTTTAAATAAAACTTTCCATTTTTCATGAATATATTCTTATAGCACACCTTAAAAGCTTTCCAAACACTAGAATAAAATATTTTTTCTTGAAGATTTTTTTCGAATTATAAGACTTGTAAGTTACAATACCATCAGTTACCCAAGGTGTTCGACCAATGGCAACCTCTTGAATTATTTAGGATCATGACCTGTATAACATTTGTCAAGATCAAGGCCATTGAAGGTTATTCCTCTTATTTTCATTTTTATATAAAAACGAAAATAAGAGAAACAGTCTCCTACGAAATGTTTGGAAAAATACACAATGCGTGTTAGGTCGGTAACTCTAGCATTCCCTTAAAGACATTATTTTGTTCTAAGCTAAATTAAATAAATAATAAAAATGATGTGTCTGTCAAATATACAAGACTCTAACTTTATTATAATTTTATTCGTTTTACATATTTCTTTTATTATGCGTAATAACTAATTTAGATTTATGAGGATGCTGTGAAGGCGTCGTAAGTTTTATCAATTGAATACAATAATTTTAAATTTAAACCAATTTTTCGTATATGACTTTTTCGGATCTGCATAAGAACACAATATATCGTAACTATTTTATAGACATATTGTAAAAAAATCTGCACTATATATATCTGATCGTATGCTAGTACTATCCACAAATTGTAACTGCACTTTAAGAGTATACTGAGCTAATTTAATATATACTATAGCATATCACAGTACGTATTTCGAATATTCCGCAAATTTTACGCAATATAGTTTTTTGATATCTCGCGAAATATTCTTAGAATTAATATGTGCTGTTAAAGTTACAATCTTTGTTTTTTTTTCTAGCTATTATGCAGTGTCGCCACATTTTTATAAGTAGTGTCTTAAATAATAGGTAAATAGGAAATGGATGTTACTTGTAATGCTTTTTTTATCATTACTTAGTTATAATAATTTGATAATAACATTGCAAATTTTTTATGATGGTAATGGTAATATTAGCGAGTTAGAAAAGTCAGTCATTACTAAAGAAAGTAACTTTTTATTTGTAACTAATTACTTGTAACAGAAAAAGTAACTCGCCGATGCGATTCTTTATTACTTTTTTAAATTATATTTTAATATTATAAATATTCTTTTAGTTTTTAATTTATAACAAGTTTAGCAATATTGCATACAGTCTGTCTATGGCCTATTACTACATGTTATTTTATTTATTATGATCAGTATTTACAATCTTAAGAAGTCATGAATCAATCAGAGAGCTGTATTAGCGTCTTAAGACATTACTTAAAACAGTCTTGAAATAAGAACTAAGTACGAATACCGCCCTATTGATAAAAACTACTGTATGCTGTCATCTAACGATATATCACTCGAATTTTATATCGCGCGCAATCGATATTTTTAACGTGTTGATATAACATTTTTATCTAATGAAATTGTTTGTAATATATTTATCTTCTGCCGCACAATGACTTTTTTATCGACATGTGATAATTATGCTAACTCTACAAAATTAGTATAATTATCACATGTCGATAAAATTCATTGCGCGGCAGAAGATAAACATGTGATCATAATACTAACTATATATTTTCAATAACGATCTATTATCTGTCACAATTATAGGTTATTGAAAATATGTATAAAGTATGATGACATTCATATACAGATTTATCAGATAATTCTATTTTCTGCTTCGTATATTTCCTCTTGTCAACGCGTTCCTATATCAGTAATTTTTATCTTTATTTTTCAGATTTAGACAAATGTCCGAAGCAAGTCTTAAGGATAATGACGTCACAAGAACATTAGATAGTTTTTATAACATAAATCCGGATACGGTGAACGCTAAATAAGTCATCCTTTTCTTTATTAGTTGTTAAAAAGAGAATAACCTAACCTTTGCATAATAGGTTGTTTTCTGTTCTTACACAAGGATTGCACTGAACTGAACTAGTATAATCCAAAACTGACGAGTGTAAGGAATAAAAAATGTTTTAGTGCAAGATAAAAATGGCGTCCATTGTTTACATGGAAGTATTAGATTCGTGTGATAGAAATGAATGCAATTCCATTAAAAGAAATTCTTAATTAAAGATAATGATAATACAAAATGTTTTTATATGTAGGCTTGCTATTATTTATATATATTTATCATTTTATTACTCATAAATTTTCGGATAATTATTTAGAAGATGCCCCTCATTTTCAATTTTAATAAAATTATCGCTCATTTGTCGCATTTATGCATGAAACGAAAGAATCTGGCAGTAAAATGTATGTGTAAAACACATGTCTTCGAAATTATAAAGAAACAGTTATAGAAATGAAGTTTAAAATTGTGTGTCCAATAAAATCCGGTTATAAAATTACAAATTATACATATAAAAATGTATATCGCAAAGTAAAAAGTTATTATAAGGTTTAAAATTTGAATATTAAAAAACAGTTAAAATTACACATCGAACGGTCGGGATATAAAATAAAAAGTACCTGATGATTAGTAGTGATCTATTTGAGTGAGAGTAACATTTGATAATCGAAAAATTGAGATCCTGTCCTGTCCTTCTTTAAGGAGAAAATCGGCAGCTGGTAACCTGTTGTAAAATCAATGTAATTACTTGTAACCATGATTAAGGGAAATTAAAAAATTCATTATCTTTTAGGTCGTGCTGAATAATTTAAAAATATATAACGAGCTATTAAATCAATACAAGTTACAGTTATAATTATCACTGTAACGACAAGTAATTGTAGTACTAAAACTATGCGTGATGAACTTTGTGACAATTGTTGAACAACATATAAACCTGGCTTTCTGTTACTTGATCATACAAAAACCTCTCACTCAATCTTCTACACAAGATACAATCATCTACTATAAAAACATCGCAATCACCTAATCAAGTTTATCCTCGATTATCTAGTCTTGATTATAATCAGAAACAAACTCCAATAATTGTTGAAAGTAAACCTATTGGTTGGACTCGTATTCTAAAAAAATAAAAAAACATATAATGTAAGATTGTACATATAATATAAGATTGTCATTTATTGCTCTCATTTACCTTAAAAAGATTATACAAATATTTAAATTTAAATAAATAGTAGCCACGTTTTGATATACACTGCTAGTATTGAAAATCTATAATTATACATAATATATTAACTATAGATTTTTGAAAATTTATAGTTTTCATTATGTATAATTATACAACGTTTTCTCCTAGCTGCACATTATTGCCCACTAATGCAACACTCAATGGAAAGCAACTAGTGTCTCTAGCTTGCGAGCGTTGTAAGTGCCAAATGAAACGCACTTCATGATTTAAATTAAACAACCAGTTGAGCCAGCGTATGGCGTAAACTTCACAGTGTCACGTGAGACTCATGAAATTGCGCAATGCTGCAACTCACCAATGCTTACGGTGTTACGTCACACTCCGTAATCAACACGGCGCGAGCTAACCTATCCATGAGTCTATTCTCCGCATTTACAACGTGTCGATTTAAAGGAGAGATCAGTCCCCGCCATAGAACGCGACATGTCGGCAATCAGCACGTGAATCTATCTGTCCGATTGAGAAACATTGATCTACATCAAACCGCAAAGATGTTCATCGACCCGTCATCGCGTTTCGCAGCACAAACTTGATATCTATTTCGAGTCATACGCAATGCGTTAATCGTTTATTTATAAACGTCGCTGTGCCGTTTTTCCAGCCGATATTTACTTAGGTCTTTACACATTCTTATAATCGTAAAATGTGTTAAGCCTCTTCTTTCTGTCTGTCATTCCTTCTCTCATTTTCGTGTATAAATTATGGACGAAGTTTGGTTTCACCTCTCGAATCAACTCGAAATGATGCAGGTAATTGGATTTGCCTTTGATTTTTCCGCGCTTGCTCCGACAATCGTGCTTTATATAATATTTAAAAAATTTTCAGTTAATTTGAAAGTTGTAATTTTTAGATTTGAAATCCCAAAACATTTTGTAAATATTATGTTGCCTTCATTTTTAAACTTCGCGTTGTAATTTGTGTTACTTAAATTACAAGTTTTTTTAATTAAAGGATAAATTTTAATATATTGTATGTCAATTTTATATATAAACTATGTAGTTCAATATTATATAATATTTTGGTACCAAACTTAATGCACATCTATAAATCATTTGGCATAAAATCATAGAAGATTATTCATAGAAGATTATTCATGGAAAAAACTCAATATAAACTACACAAAAAAAATTTGGGGGAAGGTTCAAACATCAGTAGCAGTGCAACAAGGACAGCAATGGTGTGTGACATGGCTAGCTCAGTTACGACAATTTATCCTGCAGCTTTGCGACGAACAACATGCTCAGTATGCCAAAGACATTGCATCATACATGGCTGCTTCTGTACAAAGAGGATGGCAAGAGGTTCAGTTTCAATATTACAATACTCAATGGAATTCAATAGATTTTTATCGCCAAATAAGAATTTTATGTGCTAATAAAGGTATATTGAATATTCAAATATGTTTTGATAAATTCTTGATGTAATACTAAATTGATTTTAAACATAAGGCTGTTTATATTCTGTTCAGTGTCAAGGAGAGAAGCAATATTTTGTTTGACAGGCTTAGTGATTGGAACTGTAACAGGCTACTATATCGGCGTAAATTGGAAACCAACCTCTCAACATATACATCATATAAAAACTATTGCTTGTCATCATTATTACGGTATCGAGGTATATCATATATATAACATTATGATTTTGAATATAGATATAAATATATAGTTCGATATTCATAGTTCATTCTTATTTTAAGACCGTCTTAAATAATGTTAAGATGCTAATATGGAGCAGTGATTGGCTTGTTACATGACTTAAGATGGTCTTAAATATAAAAACCAACTATGAATACCAGCCTTACTATTGCCACAGGGTGTATTACTGATAGACGATTCCGAAATGCCAACGATTAAAAAATCAAACGAATTGCTTATACAAGTTAAAGCCGCCTCACTTAATGTTATTGATACCAAGATATGCTCTGGTTACTCTAGGATCTATAGAAGATTACTTAACTCAGGAGTAAGTAAAGTTTCTCAAGAGCTGATATCTGGTGATCCAAATTATCATTGTAATCAGTAATGCATGTACCTATGTATTTAGAAACAGAAAGAACTACCTGTAACTTTAGGGAGAGATTGTGCAGGAGTGATAGTTGACATTGGACAAAGCGTTATCAATTTCGATATCGGGGATGAAGTATTTTTAGCCGTTCCATCGTGGGCTTCTGGCACGATGGCGGAATATATAATTGTTCCAGAAACGCAAGTAGCAAGACGGCCTAAATCATGTAATTTCGAAGCCTCTGCCAGCCTGCCATACAATGGTTGTCTGGCGTGGGATGCTTTAGTTAATAGATCTGTCATTAAGGAAGGCAATGCCAAAGGAAAACGGTAATACTCTTGATATCATCTTTCTTGGCTCTCATATCTAAAATATCAATTGATAAAAGAATATTATCATTATAGAGTTCTCGTTTTCGGCGGAAGTACTCCGATCGGTTGTATCTTGACGCAATTAATTAAGTTATGGGGTGGATATGTAGTAACCGCCTGCCGAACGGACGCCATGCCTGTAATGAAGGCACTGGGTGCCGACGAAGTTATAGTAATAAACGAAACCGAAGTCGGAAAAGCATTACAATTGCATGATAAGTACGAAGTTTTCAGAACAAAATTTATAATACAAAAATTATTTTATTTAAATAAAAGAATAAAAAGTATATAGTTTTAATTAGATTGGACTTAATTTCATTACAGATTCGATGCCATTTTTTATACTGATAATCAACCTTTCAAAGAATATATTTTAAAGAAACACTTATTACCTCATGGCTCCTACGTATCAACTGTTCCTGAACAATTGACATCGGACTCGCTGGGATTTATTTGTGGAAGTATATTTGCTGGATGTGTTAGAATAAAATTATTGGTTCAGGTATTTTAATTTTAATTCATGTCAATAATAAAAATCATTGTTTATGGTATATTACTAACTTTAAATATACTTTAAATTGTAGTATATGTTCGGATTTAATATGCATCAATGGAAGGAAGGGGCAAAGTTGAACGTCGCAAATTTGCGAGCATTATGCGAGCTGACCGATGCTCATCATTTGCAAACAGTTGTGGACAGGGTGTACGCGCCATACAATATCGAGCGAGCGTTGCTCCATGTTTTAGATCCGAATTCTATTGGTAGTACGATTATAACATTTCAATAACGTATCATTGGAACAAATTTATATTGCGACTATATATAGATATACTGTATATCTCTTGTACATAACAGTGTATAATTTTGGCGGGTAATCACTGCCATATACTGTTAATAAATATTTACATCATTGCAAATCAAGAAATAGTAGTTCAAATATACTTGGTGCTAAAATAAAGACTGACATGATATAATCAACAGATATAGAATACTTTGTCCTTTTCTAAATTCCTTTGCCAAGCTATTATTATAAAAAATTATTTAGAAATATTAATAAGAAATAAAATATGATGTGAAAATATAAAATATGAAGGAATAAAATATAAGAAATAAAATATAATATGAAGATGTACAATGACAATAAATGACATGGGTGAATCTAAATAATATAGCAATGTAAACATTTTTATAAAAATATACCATGAGACATTGTTGAATGCTTGCCACGATAAAATTTATAAAAATATGTATTGTACACGAATATTGTATATATTTTATGAAATAAATAGAAAAAAATCATGTTTACCAATTGAAACTGCAGTGTAGAAATTTATAAAAATAAATATGCAACACGTGTATAAGACATTGTGTTGAGATAGCGTTTTATACAAGACATAAATACACTATTAGCATTGCTATACATTCTTGTCAAATTTATAAAATTACTTTCACTTTGCTTTACCGCGAAATTTGCTGTTACCTGCTGCCTTTGCCTTCTTAGCCGGAAGCTTTTTTTCTTCTGCCTATAAATGTAAAGAAAATTTTGTTTACTTTCAACTTAAAAATATTAAGTGGTAATATTAAAGTGGTTTGTTCGAAAAATCTCACCTTTCGCTTTGGAGTCGGAGTTGAGTTCGGTAAAACTTTGAAGAACGAATCCAGTCGGCCCTGTGTAGACGTATTTCGAGCCTTATGAAGTTTTTTAGCCCCATTTCTAACCCGTTCCTCATTAAACTGCTTGTCACCACATAAAAACTTCACCAGACCTTCTTCATCTGGTTCGGACCATTTTAACTTACAAAATAAAAAAATATTTAATATATGTAAGTTACACAGAGAAAAATTATTCAATAAGTTACCTGGACGTCATCTGGATTAGACACTTCTGGCTCTTGAAACAATAATCTTGCATCTTTGTAATTCCAATCTTCCGGAATGGGATATTTTTTGACATCTATATTTTCAATAATTTTTTCAAGAGATCTATGATTTTTTATCAACTCTATTGCCCTTTTTGGACCAACCCCTTTAATACTATTTGTATAATCGCAACCCAACATAATACACAGATCGATAAACTACAAATAATGTGTTACTTAATAAGAGAATAAAATTAATAAACAATAAAAATAATTTAAATGCATACCTCATTATGATTTAGCTCTAAACCTGCAAGAACTTTATCAAAATGAATCTCTTGTACTGGCAACTTCCTGGCTTCACTAAAGGTTAAACGTCGAAGTAGCACATTGCACCCAAAAGTGAGTGCGTCCATATCCTCTGTAGCAGTGGCAAAAACTTTACCGGCTTTCACTAAAGCAGCACACTGTGCTTCAGCCTCGCAAGGAGCCTGCATAGAAAACATCTATTGTAGAAATGAATAAAAAAAAAACCATAATTTCACATAAATACTTACATCAACATAAGGTATACCCATTAACTGAAGTAATTCTTTAGCTTCGTCAGCATGAGTTTTTGTAACTTTAACTAATCTCCTATTAAATTTGTCAATAGCTTCCACATTTCCTTTAATAAAATATCTGTTATGAAAATTTGTCGTGATCTTCTTATACAGAACATAAATTATTTATCAAATATTACTATAGTAATGAGATATAATTTATCATTACCATCTTCTTCGGCAGCCTGCAAGAGTTTTTGTGCCTCATCCCTTCTTTCAGCTCTTTTAGTTAATTCTCCACTTTTCAGATTTGGTGGTTTTCCATCAAATACATACACAGGTTTTATCCCTTGCTCTACCATGCGTATAGTACGATAAAATGTACCCATTAAATGGCTACAAAGTTTACACAACCAATTAGTTCTCAATATTCTTTTATAAATTACCTTCTTAAGATAATTTTTTACAATATTTGATAAAAATTTAGCATAACTTATAATAAAAGATTATTGTACAATTAAGAAAAATATACCTGGTTGTTTCGCCATCTACAGTAGTGAGCTGTGCTCCTTCACTGCGAACAGCTATAAGAAACTGATACAAACACATAGATGCATCAATAGCAATCTTGCGACCTGTAGCAAAAATAGTTCCAAGTAAACATCAATAACATACCAATATGACAATAACAGAATCGATAATTGATCATGAGGATTGATAGATTATACAATTTTATCTGAGATGTATAGATCGTAGTTAATGGTTAAAAGCATAAAATTAAACGCAAGACGGACAATAATTTACCAAAATAATGCTTTAATTCTCGTTCTTTGATAGCTTCTGGAGCTACGTCTGCTATTAATTTCGACAAGCCTAAAATACCCATGTCAACAAAATGTTTATCATGTACGTAGGAAAACGATAAAACGTCAAGCAGACACACAGATTATAGCAGTGAAGCAGTCACTTTCTGAGAGAAGGCGGAGGCAGCCTCTCTTCCCGCCAATTTCCGCAATATGAACAGAGCAGAAACCAGGCTGAAATGTACAATGTTGCCAATCATCAAACGGAAGCATAAGTTGGCAATCATGGAAAACTCTGTTTTCGTTTTCGCACATTCTTCATCTTTCTCTGTTTTTCAAACGAATATGAATGAAAATGAATGACTTTTATATATTACTTTATTTTTTTATTTTCTGCAAATTATCCTGGCAATTATTCTCATATTTCATGTGCTTGTTAAGTTATTACGCACAAAACAATGGCGTATGGAGTCGAAGATTATTGAAAAAATTTTTTTTTCACGATGACGCCTATGTACTTACAATCAGTAATTGAGCAATGAACATATGTGCGTCTAATACGCATCCATGATGTCCACGTGTAGTAGTTAACCTTTATTAACCGCCAAAAAGTCCAAAGCACTGTAATTCTACAAAGCACTTCAAAACAAACGCTGCTGTTTTTTTCGTCGGTATTTTAATGTAAGGAGTAAGAAATGACGAGCAATTGCGATTTGATAAAAACGATTGAGGATGATCAGGAGGTGCCAGATTATTCCGAGAATTCAGATGAGGAAGACGACGTAAGCAGAAAAGCTTGTATCGAAATAACAAGCGATTTATTTTAAAAACATTTTATTCCATAAAATCTTTTTTCTCATATTTTTCTGTGTTAACGAATTCAATTACTTACATTATATTAAATTAGTGCATACTAAAAGCTGTTTTATAATATAAATTAGTAAAGTTAAATGTAACAGCATAAATATAAATATTTTATACAATTAAATATGCAATAATGATATCCAATGATGATATATGTATTATTGCATTTGTCAAAGTTATATTACGCCACTACATTTTATTTTATATAAAGCAGCACTTAATGTATACTCTACTACAGTATAGTGCTAGTGACTGAATTTATTGTTTGTGAATAGGTATATCTCGGATATTAATGAATTCGGTTACTCTTACTATGCTGGATTAAAGATTACTTTGTATATAAAATATGTAAATATAGTGACATAAAATAATCAACTTTGATAATAAAATAATATTCTGTTAAATAAGTGACAGTATCATTCTTAGGTATTTAATTATTTAAAACATTTATATGCTTTTACATTTATCTTTGATAATTTTGTGTATAGTAGCTTTTAGTATGCAATCTAATGTAATACAAATGAGCGAATTCATTATACATTTTCTCCTAAACTATTTATTAGTTTCAACCACGGAAGCAGAAGAAAAAAGAGAACAAAGATTTTGACAAGGGTTTCCAATTTACTTCAGCTGAACACAGTCTGGATCCTTGGAATGACCTGAATAAGTATATTAAACGCAAACCAAACACAAAATTAGATGATAAAATAAAAAAAGTCAGAAAGGAATATGGGCAGGTATGTATCACATTGTCTCTATTATTTGTAAATTATAGGTGTTATAATAAATTGTACTTTTTTAAATAAAATTTTTATTATTAAAATTATGATAAAGTTATCAATAAAAATTTACTATTATATATAATTGCTAGACTGGAACTGAAGATGACCCTATTAAAATTGAACCAGGAATAGATCAGGATGATGATGTAATTTCTCTATCTGAAGATGAGCTTAAAAAAGGTAGATGTAATTAATTTTATTTATATTATATAACCAAAACAAATAAATAGAAATTGTGATTTTATATTTGCATGTACATATTACAAGGAATATTACAAATTGATTACATTATATTTATACTTTATTTATATTTATATTATGCCTTAGAAGTAATATATAAATATTTATCTTTCTTATTGATTAATTGTAGATATCTTTAAAACTAAGGAAAAGAAAAGCAAAATAAAAAATATGAAAGAAAAGGATGAAGTTGTCGATTTTGAGGAATATACAGATTCTCAAACATATACTACATTTTATCAAATGAACTTGTCGAGACCTTTACTGAAGGTATACAATATTGTAATTACTTAATAAAGTAGTAACCTTCTGTTGGCAAAATATCATTAATATGTAATAAAATGATTAATCTATCGAAACTGCAATAGTATATAATTACTGATTGACTTTACAAATTTCTAGGCTATAACAACGATGAATTTTGTACAACCAACTCCCATACAAGCTGCTACTATTCCTGCAGCTTTAATGGGTCGTGATATTTGTGGTTGTGCGGCAACAGGTACAGGGAAGACTGCGGCTTATATGCTTCCCATTTTGGAAAGATTATTGTATAGACCATTGGACGGTCCCTCTATTTCGCGTGTTCTCGTACTTGTGCCTACTAGAGAACTGGGAGTGCAAGTTTATCAAGTGGCAAAACAATTAGCTCAGTTTACAACGATAGAGATTGGTTTATCTGTTGGTGGATTGGATGTGAAAATACAGGTAATATTGTGTCTTTAATAAACTTCTTTTATGTAAATTATTAAACAAATCCAAAATTAGGTATTCTTCAAATTTTTTTCATATGAATGCAGGAAGGCGTACTGAGAAAAAATCCAGATATTGTAATAGCAACACCTGGACGATTAATTGATCACTTAAGAAATGCACCTACCTTTTCCTTGGATAGTATAGAAGTATTAATTCTAGATGAAGCTGATAGGTAATGTATAAATATTTCTATGATACAGAGTTGGGTAATGTCTAGTTAAAAAAAATAAAATTCAACAATAAGAAATAGAAGTAATGGCCGTCTAAAAAAAAATAAAAGTTAAGTTAAAAAGTTAAATAATTTTAACTTAAATTAGTTACATTTTAGACTCTTAACTTCTAACTTAATTTAATTACCTTTTATCATTAACTTTTAATTCAGCTATGCTATAAATAAATGCGTCGCAAGACGCTACACTTGCCTAGTAATTTTACATTATATGGGGCTTAATTCTTAAATTCGTGCGAATTTGTTCGCATATGAAATGGCGTATGGCCATATTTCATGTAGTGTGATCGTAGATTGATCGTATATTTCTAAACTAAAGAATTCTATTAATCAGAAAGTTTAAAATGGCTTTTTGAATGCAAACAAATTCGTACATTTTTAAGAATCGAGTCGATGGTATACGACAGGCTTGCGCCTTAAGACTTTGGCACACCAAAGGTGATTCACAGCAGTGAGCAGTAAGCGGTTACAAATGAGAGTTCTGCTTTCCGTAGCGATGAGCACGAAAAAAAGCAGATCTTTCATTATGCTCCACTCGACATGAATTCATGAATTGCGTTTGGTATGCCAGAACGATTAGTCTCAGCGATTAGTCTATACAGGGATCGCAGAATAGTGGAGAAGTATAAAAATGTAACTATTACTGAAAAGCAAACTTTAATATAAATCCTGCACACGCAATGGAGAAATATTAGGAATACAAATTAAAATTTTAGAATCAGTTTCTTCAATAAACATTAAACATAATGCACAATGGATATGTAAAGTACAAATGTATTGGCATAGAAGATACAATACATAATTTACTATTTATTTATAGTATTTATTGAAACTGAACATTTCTAAAATTTTAATTTCTAATTCCTAATGTATGTTTCTAAATAAAGTGTATATTTGTTATTTTAATTATTTGTAAGACAAACTCTAAAATGATAAAATTAAACACATTTAACTTTTTTAATTTTAATTATTTTTTTTATTAACTTAACTTTTAATTCAGTAATTTATTATGGATTAACTTGTATCTTAATTAACAAATAAGTTAAATTTTCAAGGCTATTAACTTTAATTTAACAAAAAGTTATCCAACCTTGCTACAATATGAGGATATTAATTGATTATATACGATATTAAATGATATATTAAATATATATTATATATGAACAATGAATTTTTTATTTAAGAATGTTAGATGAATATTTTGCTGAACAAATGAAATATATCGTAAAGCAATGCTCAAGAACCAGACAGACTATCCTCTTTTCTGCTACCATGACTGAAGAAGTCGAAGATTTAGCTGCAGTATCTCTTGACAAACCTATTAAAATATTTGTGGATAGCAATCAAGATGTAGCTTTCAATCTACGTCAAGAATTTATTCGGTAAGTAAATTGTTTATAGTTATTTCTTATACATTATTATTTATTGAACAAATATTATTTTAGTATACGTAAGGAAAGAGAGGGAGATCGCGAAGCAATCCTAGCAGCACTAGTTTGTCGAACTTTCCATGATCATACCATGGTTTTTTTGCAAACGAAAAAACAAGCTCATAGATTGCATATTTTATTAGGATTATTAGGTGTAAAAGTAAGTAAATTATTATAATTAGAATATAATGAAATATACAATATATATATAATAAAAACAAAATACTAATATATAATAGAGTATGATACTAATTTATATTTCTTTTTGTTATATTTAACAAGGTTGGAGAACTTCATGGTAATCTCACACAACCGCAACGTTTGGAAAATCTTCGAAAATTTAAAGACGAGGAAATTGACATCTTGTTAGCGACTGATGTTGCTGCAAGAGGTTTAGATATAAGTGGTGTAAAGACTGTGATTAATTTCGTGATGCCTGCTACTCTTCAACATTATATACACAGGTATGAAATGAAATTTTTTTAATTGTTTATGTATAGTTTAATAACGAAAATTATGCTTATAATTATTAGAGTAGGGAGAACTGCAAGAGCAGGGCGTGGAGGTGTTTCTGTATCGCTAGCAGGAGAACAGGAACGTACTTTGGTAAAAAAAATTATCAAACAAGCAAAAAATCCAGTCAAGAACAGGATAATAGCGCCTGACATAATAGAGAAATATAATAAGAAATTGGAATCTTTAGAATCAGATGTGCAAAAAATTTTACAAGAGGAAAAGAGTGAAAAAGAATTAGCTAAAGTAGAGAATGAAGCTAATCGTATTGAGAAGATACTTAAAGTTGAAGATGGTAAGGAACAAAGAAGTTGGTTCCAATCCAAAAAAGAAAGAAAGAAAGAGAAAGGTAATTCATTAACACATACTCATCAAATCTTTAATATAATATTTTACATCCTAATAAAAAAGATAAAGAACAACAATAAAACATGTCATCGTTAACTACTCAAATTTTTATACTTTTAGACAATCTTCGATTAACTAAGAAACAAGTTGGCAAGAACAAAAAGCATGAAAAAGAGCCTTTTAATATAGTACAAGAAAAAAAGAAGAAAGCACAAAATGAACCTCAAAAGGATACAGCCGAGGATAGAGCTAAGAAAGAATTAGAAAAAATAGCCGCTTATCAAGCGCGATTAGCCAAAAAAAGTAATAGACAGAAGAAGATTAGAACGATTACGGATGAAAACGTGATGAATCGTGATTTTGCTAAAAAAAGTATAACTTCATGTTTATAATTCAGTATTTACCATATATAAAAGAAACTGTCGATTCAATAAATTCTGTTATTCTAGGACCATTGAAACGACCAAAATCATCATTCGCTGCTGATTTAACAGATACGAGCAAAAAGGGTGTTAAAAGAATGCGATATGAGTATGTTTTAAATTATTTTTTATATTAAAATTTATAATATATAAAATATATAATTTCTTTTGTTTCAGGGCAAATAAGAAAAAAGAAGTTAAGAAAAAACAGAATACATTTAAATCACAACAGAAAAGTAAATTTGCAACGAAAGGAAAAAATCAAAAGAAATTTAAAAAACGCTAATTTTGTAATACACGTGCGACACGCATAATTGTATGATTAAATGTACACATAACGTTTACTGATTTGTTTTATTATAGAACCATTACAATACGCCATATGTCTCACAGATCGACAGATGAATAGCACTGATTAATTGGTTGTTTAATCAGATTGTATATTTTTATGTATAGTTTTCGTAATCTATGACCTATTTGAAAAAAATTGCAGTACTATGCAAAAAAATAATCGTATAATTAGAAAAATATTTGCATTGTATGCCAATCAATACAGACTTAGTGATACTTGCTGATGGATAATATAAACGTATCCAATAAGAAACTTGGTACTATGCATAAAAAAAAAAGAAATTAATAAGAATAATATTTTCATAGATTTGAATTATGCAATATTAGAAGATGAAGATGCATTGTACTGTAATTTCTGTGAAAAGATAATAGATATATGTTAATTCTATAATATTTATACGATTTCAACAATCATCCATCACCATTCACGAATTCATACGCATTTTTTTCATTCATGTTTAAATTTACGATAGTTGAATGTTTAAGTTTAATAATTATAATGTTGAAAACTTAAATCTTTAAAACCTAGGCCCACTTTGCTCAAAACTTCATTCAAAAATTCATACGGAAAATCTCTTTTCTATGTTTCAAATATTTAATAAATAAAATTGAAACGTGTTTTTCTTCTCTTCACACACATTAAGTTGTAAGAATTGCATATATATTGATATAAATTAAGGTATTACGCAATAATCTTTTTGCAATCGGTGTAATTTTAATTTTATGTTTATTTATAAATACAAAAGTTGAAGGTTTTCGCAAATTCTCGCAATATTCTTTTTTTCTTTATTGTTACATATAGATCACACTTAATGTGTATCATAGTAATCGCGACTAAAGTGTGGCGATAGTTGTATTCTTAAAAACCAACAACTTTGGATCACAAAGCCAATAGACACACAAATTCTTATCTAATATGTTTATGCAACAAAACTATAGTATTTTCCTTTGTTATTTTTAAAGTGACGATTTAATTGATATATCTCTCAAAGAAAGTTTTTTTATTTATTTTTTTAATAAAGTATGTTGACAATATTGTTTTATATATGTATACTTGTTTGTTTAAATCAATGCTATCTTTCAGCAAAATAATTATAATTATTCATTAGACATTCGCGAAATAAAAATATAAATAATTTAAAACATATCAAAGATAAATAATGGTCACATACCGAGTAAGGATTCTGCTCTCGGAAAAATTTGTTATAAAATTTACAAAAAATTCATTCTGGCTTTATATGGGCCATTTGGAAAAAATTTTTTGTTATATCATAAATTAATTAATGCATTCTATCATTCATAGTCCCATTTTCATAACATGTTACCTAAAGATAAGGTTACAAAGAAATTCATGAATAGATTTTATTAATACTTAAATCTCTTGATAAGCTTTAATCTTTAGGTAACCCCATATTGTGAAAACGAACCATAAAAGTAATAAATGAAAAATACGAATATGTAATATTTAATTTGTTATCAACGAAACAAACATATTTAAGGATCCATACATATATATTTGCGAAGAATTAATAAACTTTTCGTTCTATTTCTTTTTTCTTTCCTGCTCAGTTGCGAGTTCAGAGAACTCTTTGCATTATAAGCCTGACATTACTGTCATAATCTTAACATCTTACATTCTAGAATACACGAACGACTTAGGTTTATTAATTGTTATACATAACCAAAATATTCAGTTTTCTAATTTGTAAAGTATCTTTTAGATTCTTTATTTTTCCATGCTCTTTAAGTCTTTCCCCATCCCAATATTCCCCGGGTATAATCCGATCACTGAGAATTATTTATTTACTTTATCCGATTCCCTTAATGCCCTCTTCGCTGGTGGTTCTTCGATCTAAAATAAAAAAAAATAAATTTAGACATTTTGCATTAAAACATTTATCACAATCAAAGAAAATTTTACCTCTTCTTCTAAACCAGGCAGTTGAATTCTGGTCTCTGATGCTTCCGCAGGCTGCAAATAAAATTACCTCAATACATCTTATCAAACATATCTTATCAATATTTCTAAGAAAGATGATTTTTAGCAAAAGCACATATTATTCTAATATCACGTTCAAATTACCTGTGCATCAATACATTCCATTTCGCCAACTTGCAGCTTGAAATCATAATTATACACACGCAAAAAATTAAATAAATTTATATCACGTTTCATTATCGCAATTATTATTTAGTTAATATTACCGTAATATAATTAATAGAAATGTTTATCATTATTTACATATATATTGAATAAAAAGTTTAAATTAAGCGAGCTAAAGATATCCAAAAAGAACTTGTTTAAAAAAAATCATCTTACCCTTGCATCCGTTTCATTAGGTCCGATGCCTATTTCCTTCTGTTTGGATTTAGCCTTGCGCTGTGGTCTCTCATTAACCGTGTGTGTATTGTGGAATGATCCCTTTCCTTTTGGATTTGTCATGTTCACTTGTAATTCCGCAGGTAAGTAATTCTTATGATTATTTAATGTTTCATCTGTTCGTTTAAAATACATCGTAGGAATTCGCGTTTCGCTCGGAAACTCCTTCATATCGAAATTAGTAGTCTTGGTGTATATTACGTTCATTGCCAAGTCACAAACAGCCCACAATTTCTGTACGTGACAAAAATAAAAATTGATTTAATCATAAATAACTTACTTAGACAAAGCTAAATTTGATTTATAATAATTACGTAATTCATTTCGTTGTCCTCAGGCTTCAATGCATCTTTGTGGCTCTTCATACGTTCCACAAGATTTCTATAAAATCCATAGCAATAATATTCATTCTTTGTGATAAGAGGTTCCAAGATGAACCAAAGACATTGTTGAATAACTTTCAACTGGCTCACCATCACATGACTCGTAAATTCGGGGTCATGTGCAAGAATAGGTACCGCGAAAACTAACATATAATCCGGCAAAATGTGGGGCAGTTGATCTAAGAAATTATAAAATATAAAAAATCATTACAAATTATGATTACATAAAACACGCGAAACTATCAAGAAATACAATTCAATATGTACATGTCGATTTTGGTGAAACTTTCATTATTAAAAGTATTTGCAAAATGATATTTATTTCATCGGCAATCATCAATATTTAATAATAGGAAAAATTAGAATGTTTATAGAAAACTAATAAAAGTCGAAAAATATGAAAAAATTACACTGTTAATGGATCCGTGTTCAGCAGTAGGTAAAAATACATCAGAAATGATTATTTCACTCGTCTTGCAAAATGCATTGATATTAAATAGTGTAATTTTTTCATTTTTTCAATTTTTGTCAGTTTTCCAACATTCCAACTTTTTCTAACATTCACGATTGCCGATGGAATAAATATTGTTATTTATCTCTCATTTTGCAAGTACTTTTAATAATAAAAATTTTCATAAAAATTTTGGCGTATACATATTGGTGTTCTTTGTAAGTCAAATCTATCTTAAAGTCTATGTCTTACTATTTAATTTCTTACCCATAGCCCGCTCGACAGTACCCAATGAAAGAGTCTTCACGTAATCCCTCCTTTTATTTATGTCTGTCTGCATATATGTTTTCAATACACACTTTAACCTCTTGTCTTGTTCCTTACCAGCCAGAGCGTAATATCCCATGAAATCCAATGGTAAGCATTTGTTCGGAATTCCTCTTCCTAAACCTTTGTGCAATTTACTACCAAAAGCTTCTCTAACTTGAGGAACTTCATCCTGAATATTAAGTCAATATATTGAATTAATTTTAATTAATATTTATTTTTCAATATCGAATCATAATCATTCATCATATTACATATCACATAAAAATGAAAAGATTTTCAATATAAACAGATTTATATTGAACATACCACCATAAGTTGCGAAAGATTATAAAACTGTTCTGCAGTGAATTGATCACCAACACCCTTTTGTTCGCATATTTTCAACATTGAGCAACCAGCTTGCAATCTTAGCCAACTCATTTCAGCTTTACTCAAGCGTCCCTGAGACAACAAATCACCTTTGTTCACCATGAAAGCATTCAACATTCTGAACGTCTTTTGCGCTGACAATACGTCAGTCTTCAATCCTAATAACCAACGCGCCATACACTTCAAACCTTCCAATCTGCATCGTGTCTCTTCGGGTAATTGATCCTCTCTGCACCAATCTCCGTCAATAATTTCGGAGCTTTGCTCACTGCTTTCCTTCACTAGTAATTCTTTAACTATCTGCACGAGTAAAGATCATATTGTGTAAAACAAAGCATTAGATACTAGAAAGTTCATTGTAATTTAATGTTAACATTATAACTTTATTGTACTTACTTTTCTGGACACCATATTTTTTATTTGTACTTGATATTTGTCTGGCAAATTATATGCTATGTGACCTAATGTGACTATAGACGTTCGATAATACTCCGACGTCGGCGTCAGCGTGTTCTTAATTCTCTCGATGATCTCGGGGAAAATAGTATCATGAATATTGGTCATGTTGACGAACAGACATCTCACAGCTTGCTTTGCCTGTTTCGGTGTTCCCGTCTCGGCGAAATTCTTGCAGATCGGTACCATAAGATTCATAATTTCTGGCGCTACATCACATAGAGGTTTATATTTTCCCAGAAACGTAAAGATAGAGAGAACTAAAGGTGCTACCATCTCATCCTCCAATTCAAGCAAATTGACAAGTTGCATCAAGATATCATTATGCAGGAAATGCGGGCCGAATACAAATGAAAGCATCTGAAATATTTCGGATGTATATACAGATAACATACTTGTGCTTTTAGTTACAAAATTTTAATCTCTTAATATATGAAAAATTTATATTAATGTATATATTCAATTATTTTTAGAATATCGAATTATTGATTTACCACTAGTAATCTTAATCCTTTTTCCCCGGCATTATTTGGATTAAGACCAACTTCTTCTATCACATTACCTCCTTTCAAACAGTCTAAGACGTATCCGATCAAAACCTAATTTGTACACATATAATTATTAAACATTTCTTCATAAATAAAAAAAATATATATATCCTAAAAAATGACTTACCCGAATTGCTTCTTCATCAATCATGACAGAGCTTACTCTTTCGAGCAGCATCTTAATTGTATTATAGTATAGATTAGTCATAACGGGTTGCCCTAATTTTTTGAGAACCTTAGTTATGGTTTCAGCGCATTCCTTACAGGAAACATTTGGTTGCACAATCGTTTCCATTTCCTGTAATAATCTGGTATCTCTCTTCATATGAGTGCTAAACTTTTGAAGAAATTCCTGTACTTTCATAGGATCTGGTAGAAAACGTGATATCTGATGAACTTTTGCTATTAGTTCAGTTTTAGCGTCTGTTTTCTTTGCAACCTCTATCCATTCAACTACTGCCCTTCGCACCCTGAATATATATAAAAAAAATTAATTTGTATTAGAACGAAGACATCTTTGTGCAATAACTTGAAAATAAATAAAATAAATTGAAACATATAATTAATGTATAACATACGCAAGTTGATGTTTCTGAAGTTCCACGAAAGCTTTAGAAGCGTGATCGTCAATTGTACCTAAGAGATGGTACAATTTTTTCATTCTCTCTTCAGCTTGCAACTGATAAGGTACTAAGCACGTATTTAGCAATCTTTCTACCAACAATCTATCTTCCATGCCAGCCATGTAATAACCATGTAATATTTTATCTTTTATCCAAATAACCGCCTTTTTTGTGGCCTGTGGTACGTCAGCATCGTTCAGATGTTTTTTGTATATCATAGCTAAGCCAGACATTGCCTCTTTCCGTATTTTAAACTAGAAAGATAATTATTAGAGAATTCAAACCGTAAATCTATAAATTAAATCTATAAAATCTATCATTAAATTCAAACTTAAATAACTTTGTTTTAACTTTAATATTCTACCTTTTTGTCCAAAGTCCTTTCTTTGACAAATTCGAGTAGATCCTCATTGTCCGACACAACTTCGAAATCTCGTCTAGCAGTCGTCACGATAGCCATAATGACTTCATAACGGACACTTTCATCAGCATCGTGTTGCCTCAGTTTCAAAGTATCTGTGATATCCTTTCTCAATTCAGGATGATTTAGCAAAAAATGCATCGAATACTGCACACACTTAATACGAATGGCCACACTAATATCGTTAAATCGTCCCAAAAATGCCCTCCATAACTGCGTATGCTGTACGGCTAATTGCGAGCCCTTTTCAGAGAACATTCTTGCTAGTAATGCCACAGCACCTAATCTTTCATTCTCAGAGGAGGATTTTAATTTACATTCTAGTTGCGGGAGGACGGAGAGCAAGACACTCGGACAAATGTGATTCAATTCATAAATTAGATCGTATACTTTTTTGCAAATTTGCAAACTCTTCTCCTCTTTTCCCAATATTAAGACATGATTGAAAAACTATAAAACATAGTTTTAGCATGTTATATAAAGTGAAAATCGGTATTTATTTTTTGACAAAAAGAAATTAATATTCATTACTTACCGCTTGAATGTATGGTTCTAATGTATCGCTACATTTGATTATTAGCTCTTTAGCAAGCAAATATGCGTTCTTTTTCTGTGATTTGTTTGGTTCTACAATGTTCATGAGTATAATATCCAGAAGTTCATTACTGACAATGTCCGATTCGGTAATAAGTGGACATAAAACGTCCAGCATGAAGCTTTTAACTTTACCAGAATGTTCATCACTAAAAATAAATTATATTAATCGCATATTGCATCATATTGCAAATTTTAACAATCTTTTTTTTTCACCTTGAAATATACTTACTTCACGATTCTGAACATAAGAGAAAATAATGCGCAAAAAATCTCTTGGCAATCTTCAAGCTCAAAACACATATTAAATGACTTGACATAAGCTAAATTCTCAAGTAGATAGAAATACCGTTTAAAAGCAGGATCTTTAGGATCTTTTAACCCTGCCAGTTGTTTAATAAGAAATAGAAATATTGTTTTGACCTAAAAAGTTATATTAGAATTAGTAATTAAAAACTGCCTGATTTAATTGATGATCTTTAATTAAGTTAATCTATATTAATAAAGACTATTAATAGTGTTTGATAAATTGTTACAATTATAACTCAAATATTTACCTGATCAGCATCTTTATAAGGAGCCTCTGGCGCATAAACTCTTAAGACATCTGCAATGCAGCAAGCAATTAGTAGTTGTACATCTTTGCTCTGATGCATCAGGAAATGCTCTTCTGCCAAATGTAATGCCAGTGGTATGTATTGCTGGTACATTCCTTCATCTTGTCCCATAGCTTGCAACGTGTGTGCTAGTGTCTATACATTTGTTATATTTTAGAATACGTTCCATTTGGGTTCGCAATATTTGTAAAAATAATTTTTCCTTCAACATTTGTCTTTGTTTAACAAGAATGAAATGATTTCAAGAGCATTGCGAACATTAAATTGACAACCTTAACTATTATATTTTGTGTATAATGCATTATTTATCACAAAAAACATGTTATCTAATTGTACCTTAAGTCTCCTGATTAATTCATCTGGACCTAAATCTTCAGTGACTGATCTGCACCCTTGTGGATATATTATTTCAGCCATAGTGGCTATTTAGTAAATCAATCAAGTGTAATCAAGTATCTTTATCTTTAATGTATTCTAGAATACGGTCCAAATTCTGTAATGCAATAACATTTATCTATATAAAACTCTATAAGATATAATTCAGTTCAAAAAGATACATAATACAGAAGATAATTGATATTTTCACCAATTATTTTTTTCACAAGATTTATCTTATATATATACTAGGTTTAATCTTGCTTTCAGAAAATACAACAATGGATAACATTAAAAAATGAAATAAGCTTTTAATTTACATAGATTTCCATGAAATTATAAGATATATTATTGGGTGCGTTCTGAATTTTGTATAAAGCACATGATGTATGTCATTTATCCTATTGTATGTATTTATTCACTAAATAATAAAGAAGGGTAAAACGATACATCATGCGCTTCATGCTAACTCGAAATATACCCATTGTAAGATATCTTGAATTACACACTTTTTATTAATTATAAATTAATTTAGAAAAATTTATACAATATATTTATAGCTTATATAATTTATTTAAAAAATTAAATGTGGTATAAAGTTAATGAATATTGCTAATATTCTTGATTTTGGAAAAACATAATTCATATCTTGATATATTTTAAGACAAAAGCAACAACACAATAACAATCATTTTCCATTCTCCTAAATGATATCAAATTTAAAGTTATATATTTTGTACTCAGGTAATGACATCACTACTCGCTTACTTAATTATCACGTAACACAAGTTTATATATCTCACTTTTAATATTAGTTAACTCAGTAAAATACATGGTCTCAAGCTTGTGTAGATCGTAGGTAAAAATTTAGTTAAATCTCACGTATTAGAATAAAAAGGATCATGTATTCAACTGTGTTATAACAAATTAGAAGTATCTGAGTTGATAAGAATTATCTGAATTTTATAGTAAATGAAAAAAAAAGAGGATTATCTTTTGCTAAATGAAAAACAACTATGAAGCCCTAAACAAAATGCTAGGCAACAGTGATAGGAAACAAATAACATTAGTGATAGCAAACAAATAACGCTAGCAACAGAAACAGAGGAATTCAACATTTGGAATACATATATCAATGCACATAAAAATACAGAGCGATAAATTTCCAACAGGTTAAAAGTCTGTGTCTATCGCCTTATACTAATCAGTGTTAAGAATTTCTATTTTGTTTATATATCCTATAATCTTGAAAAGCAGATCAAAAAATATACTGCAGACTATACATGATTGACCTTTTTATTTTTTTGCAGCATTGTGCGATGGGAGGCGATGATTATATATCGCTTATTTCTATACTATTCCTGTTCTATGCTGTTCTTGTCGCTATTACCTTGTGTCTAGGACTTGATATAAATATTAGATTAGAATAATTCGTGAAAACTGCACAAGTTTTTTTATTCATTAGTACATTTAGTAATGTATTTGGAGAGAACACCAGGACGGAAGTTCAAGACTTGGTTCACAAATGAACGAATAAAACATAAGCGAGATAAAATAACAAATTACTCGACAATGTATCGACAAATTAACGAGTATAGTAATCATTGGAGAAATGAACAACCGTTGGCGCCCGTCGGTTTAGAGGTTATGTGCGTTCGCCGTGCACGTATACAAGCCACAACGTAAACAAGTTTTTCGCGAAAACGGGAACTGACGAAGTACTGGCGGAACCGAGAACGCCGTGGCGGGAAAGGGGAATGAGACACGATCAAATATTACCTGGAGATATGCATAGGCACCGCAGGGCCTGTGACACTTAAAATATCAACAAAGCAAATATATCCGACGACGAGCCGCCGCCGCCGCCGCGCAGTGGATCGTCTTTCACAGGGATGTGCTCGCAGTGTTCACACGGACTTTTACAAACCGTGGTACCGACCACCTGGTTCTTAAGTGCGTGCGTACCACCCGCGACGTGATTCGCGCGATCTTCTGTAGACACTTGGCATGATCAGCACGACCTAAGCGTCGGCGGAAAAGAACAGTGGTGAAACTTCGTTCTGGTACACGGTTAAGCGTGCCGAGGGACGCGACAACGCAATTCGATCGCTTGAAGTTTGCCGACCACGATGGTGCGATGCGGCGCTATATCACCGGTGCACACGTTCAACGATCTTATTGGTGGACGTGCTATGTCGCGCGGCGCGATTTATCTCGAAAGTTAAGGCATGAACGTATGAATATCAGGGAGTCGAATCTGTATCTTCAAACAAGGTGAAAATTACAAAAGTGCAAATTTACTAAAAAAAATTTACTAAAAAATTAAAAAAGAGCAAATTTACTAGATGTTGACCAATGAAATTATTAGTATTCTAGTAAATTCGTTCACTTTTGTAATTTTCACCTCGTTTCAAGACTACAGAATCGATCCCCTGGACGGAGCGTAAAGCCAGCTTATTAGCAAGGGGATCAAGATCCGCGCGGCGGAGGGGGGGTCGGCCATCTTGTCTGGCAATATTTTAGCGCTTTATTTAAAAATCGATAAATGTATTATAATATTATTCATATTTCTAGCGCATAAAAATAAGATTTTGTGTGAGACAAAGTTAATTCAACTAATTTAATGAGAGTCAGCGCGAACGAAGGTGCGCAATAAAATTTTAACAAATAAATTTATTAATTTATACGAAATGTTGATATTATCTTTATTTGAAATCTTGAAAAATCTTGAACGTTTCGATTCTCTTTTGAATTTTCATCAGCAACAAAAAAGAGCAAGAAGCGTTAAATTTGACATATGAGCGACAGATTCGATATATTGTTCGTATTTTTTATATATCATTTGCAATATTAACACGCTGAATTAAACAATTATTAAATTATTCTTATTGCATCAAATTCTCTATTTGATCAACAATAAAAAAAAAAAATAAATTAAGTTATGTATATTGCAGTCAACGATGGTCAATACAGTCGATACAGTATGTCAGCATCACTCGACGGCAAATACGTAGAACATCTATACACTGCTTATACTATGGTAAAAGTCTCACTACAAATGCTTTGAAGCGTTTAGTTGACCAATTAGAAAAAGAATTTTACAAATTGACCAATCAAAAATTGCTTTAAAGCATTTGTAGCATCGCGTAGACCGTACTCATTATAAATCCTTCAAAGTATTTTTTGATTGGTCAATAAGTAAAGTTCTTTCTTCCGATTGGTCAATCAAAAACTTTAAAGCATTTGTAGCGCCAAGTGGAGTTTGCTGAACGCGACTAATATTAAAAAATTTGTTCGGGTTGCTTGAAATTTCTAAAAAAAGTAAGTTACAGCGAGATAAATATTTATCGAAGTTAGAAAAAAAAAAACAAGAATTTTGCGTGCAAAAAATGCATACCACTTGAACAGATCTAAATTAATTTAGTATGATTATTTAGTGAGATTTTGTTTAAATTTAATGATTATATATATAAATTAAATGATAAATTAAAAATACAGAAGGCCGGTTTCACCAATGCCAATTACAATACTTGCATTGTGAAATTAACCAATCAGCGTGAAACTAACCAATCGTATTCGCTATTTAGTAAAATTGACCAAACAATTTGGCATTGGTGAAACCGGCTCAAAATGTATTATATGCAAACAATGCATTCGATGCAACATATGCGAACTCTTCTTTCTCTCATATCCGATTAAAAAAAAATTTTTTTATTACTTTCCCCTCCTCCTTCCTCCCTCTGCCATCACCGTTTCGTCAACGATATAAACAGTATAACCTCCGGTATATTCTGAAATGATCCCTAAAAATCAGTAGAGATGTCAACGCAACAACCGTCGACCACAGTTTTCCATCCTGCGACGTAAATCTCATCAGGTGTCAGTGATAATTCTCGGGCAACCATGGAATTCGTGCGAAATCTCGTTGGCTGTAACCTGAAACGATCGTTTCTCAAGGCATCCATAATACATCTGCAATACGTGCGATGCATCAGGTACATACGAAGTCAACGAAATAAATTATAGATTATTTAGCGATTTGAATTATCCTATGTTACGATTAATTATTGACACAAAGAGAGAACTTCATTTTTGAATGGAGACCTTACTATGACGTCGATTGTTGTACATCAATTTTTGCTTGCCCTGTTTACATGTAGAATTAGTTTAGAAGAGAAAAAGAGGGGGGAAAAAATATTGTTACAATTTATAGCGATTTTGATTGGATACATTCAGTGCATATTAAAGCCATACACAAATTGATGTAAAGATGTGTGTTTGATATAACACAGAAATGAGCGAAATCCTTAATACATTTTATTGTGCTGTTAAATAAAACATGTACTTTATAATTCAAAATATTTACATTTTACTTTTATACTCATATTGTCAATATATAATAGCTTTAATATATCAGTAAATCATAGTGCATTCAATTGAATTTGCCATTATTCATTAAAATAATTTGCGTTGTTGAAATACAAATATAAAGAGTATTTATATTTATGTTAGTTGAGTTGGAATTAAACTAACAATAAGAAATACTAACAAACATAAATGTATAAAACCAACTTGTTTCAATGGACAGAAAAGAATAAACTCATAGTGAATTCAGTCACTCGCATTATATTAGGATGCCTTCATTTAATGACGTAACTTGACACAACTATTATTCTGCCTTTGTTACTCATGAAATACAAAGAAAAATAGAACGACATTTGTGTTGACTTATATCACTGAATGGAAGGTACTCCAAATCAGTTCACTAAGGCTGCTTTAAATAGAGTATCTAAATGAAATGGCATAATACAGTGTTTTCCACTTAATTCCTTGTCATGCAGAGAAAAATAAAGATAGAATAATTTGAATTGATTTATGTTACAAAATGGAAAACATCCATAATCAACTTTGACAATGAAATAATATATGTATATTCTATTAAATAATATGACTATGATGTAAGGAGACAAGGTGTATAATTCCTGAGGATATACAATAGGAGAGTAAATTGTGACCAAAATTTGATTAGCTATTCCAATATGCCAGCACTATTACATGCAGGAAAGTGCCAAAATTTGATTGGTTGTTTTCAGTATTGCTATCGCCACTATGCGCAATGATACACCTAGTATTCTTACATCATAAATATGACAATGTTATTTTGGGTATTTAATCGTTTAAAATATTCATATGTTTTTACATTTAATCTTGCCAATTACAGCAGCTTTTATGCACTAATCTAGTATAAAGCAAGTGACCAAATTCACTATTAAATTTGCATCCACGATTGCCTTTTGATAAACTTAAACAAAGAAGATTGTTTATGAATTTATCAAAGGTATTAAAGTTAATTTAGTTTGGAAAAATAACAGCACAAAAATAAAAAATTAGGTGTAGTTATTCCTCAGTTGAATCAGTTTTTAGATTTGAAAATAAATTGCAACAGAATAATTGTTATTTATGTATACATATGATGTTGTTTGGTTTTTATTATTAGAGGCTTTCTCTAATATGCTATTACTGAAATTTGAAGTTTCAAGCCATAAGAAATTAACCAATCACAATTGAATATGAGAAGAATAATTGATTATGATTAGGCAATTTCTTATGAGTTAAGACTTAGATTGGGTTGTTCCACTTTTCAATAAACTTCAGCTCACTGTCTTATTCTCTTATGCTCTTATTTTTTTATTCTTTATCCAATAGATAAATTATCACATAGTTTATCTGAAGATGGAACAAGCCTTTAAGAACTTAAATAATTATTGTGGAAAACTTTTTTGTCACAGTTAATTAGCTATTATTATATTCACAATCATTAACAATATCTAAATTAAAAATTATATTATGTCCTATGGCATTATTGCTCTCTTTTTATTCTTTGTTCCTAGAGTTGGTTCCTTTAAGTATCTTACATTGTGATATCATTTATAATTTTTTCTCAGTTAAAAATTAAAATTAATTAAATACTACAGATTACCATGAAAAATTGCATGAGCTTTAGACACTTATGATAATATTTAATTATGTAATAATATTTGCAATAAAAAAATGTTTTTGTAGATTAGCTGAAGTCGGCAAACTAGAAACACCAAAGTTACAGGGAAAATATGAAACAGGTCAATTGATTTTACACAGAGTTTTTGGTTACCGAGGTGTCATTCTATTTCCATGGTTGGCAAGAGTATATGACAGAGATATATCTAATAAGAAGGATGAGTATGTATAGTTATTTATAGTTATATGGATAAATATATCTATTTGTTTTTGTATATAAATATTATGCACAGATAATTTGTACATTTAATTACAGAAAGGATAACAGCAATTTTAACAGTGTCGGCGAGAAAGAAGTAAAAGGCAGAACACATACATTTTATCAAGTTTTGATTGATCAACGTGATTGTCCTTATATAGTAAGCAACGTTCAGAAATTATAGATCTATTTTTTATTTTTGTACTAGACTGCACTTTCTTTCTCATTATTACCAAGTAATATCATTCATATATTTATTCCAAAAGTGTACACTAATTCAGTTATAAAAAATAGATCCTGTCTTCAGACTGAAAACTCGTAAAATAAAATAAATATAGTTGAAGAGTTTCACAAAAGTGAGAAAGAAAATGTTATTGCATTCTATAAAGAATTGACCTAATATTTTATTACTGTGATTAACATGTGCCTAATATATATATATATATATATATTTATTTATTTGCAGCGTGCTCAAACAGAGGCAGTTACTTTCTTGGGCAACCATGAGAGCAGTCGCAGCTTGTACGCAATTCCTGGATTAGATTATGTCGCTCACGAGGATGTACTGCCTTATACCACAAACGAGAAAGCGGCGCTTCAGCATGAACTGTTCGATAAATTTCTGATTTATCATCCAGACAAGGAGCCATGCTTTGTGGCGCAGGAGACCCTTCGTACGTGGCAGAAAAAGAATCATCCGTGGCTTGAGTTATCAGATGTACATAAGGAAACGACTGAGAATATTCGCATTACCGTTATACCGTTCTACATGGGTTGCAGGGAGAGTCAAACTACTTCTGTATATTGGGTGAGTTGATATAATAAAGTTAGATATCTTATTCCATTAGGAAAGGGATTAGAATTGAGTTAAACGTTAATTCTTCATTATATCTTCTGGTTTACAGTGGCGTTATTGCATTCGACTAGAAAATTTAGGTGAGTTGAGCGTGCAATTGCGTGAAAGGCACTGGAGAATATTCAGCTTGTCAGGTACGTTGGAAACTGTTAGAGGAAGAGGTGTAGTGGGTCAAGAACCTGTGCTATCGAAAGCTTTACCTGCTTTTCAATATAGCAGTCATGTGAGCTTGCAAGCTCCTAGTGGTCATATGTGGTAAGTATAATTACTTGGCTGCTTTGCTTTTAGGAGACATTGATACAAATATTGTTCTATGAATTATTGACAATCAATGTATAATAAAAATAAAATAATACTTTTGTCGATTGTATCTCCTACAAGCAAAACTCCTGCAGCCTTAATTTCTTGTAAATGAAAAAAGGCGTTATTTACTTAATTGTTCTCAACGATTTTGTTTTCAGGGGAACATTTAGGATGGAAAGAGAAGACGGATATGCGTTTGATTGCAGAATTCCACCATTCTCCTTAGAATCGAAAGCAGAGCCATCCACGCCCAATGTAGAAATCTGATTCTTTAACGAAGGATGATTTAATAATTATAAGTGATGATTAGTTAGATAAATATATAACAATTATTAGATGACGATAATATAGCTTCATGTACAATCAATGATTGATAAGTGTGAATCTTGTGATAACTCGGAAATTAATTTCGCGGATAGTTTCAATAAAATTATACTGTACATACTTTCTCTGGAAAAAAAACCCTGTTACGTAATCTCATACATAAGAACATATCTAGCGTTCGACATTCATTTTCTAACACATCTAATTTTAATGAAATTTAATAACATGTAAATGTAAAAAAATTAACTCTTTAAATATATTGAATATGTAAATACAGAAAGAATACTCAATCAATGTGGGTTTTGCAATTTTATTTTTATAAAATTGATTTTGCTTGAAAAAATTCAAAATTAAAATATCAAATAAAAAATTGAAAAAATTAAAAAGACGTAAAAATGATAAAAGGCGAGAAAGAAATTTTTTACGATCTGTTTACGTTTTATATAATTTTTTTTGAACTTCGAAAATGTTTATTTATCCCATGGAATGCGTCTGAGGAAACTGTGGGAGGGTCTTATGTAACCACTTAAAAAGATCCCCCGCACCCCCGAAATGAAAAATCATGGATCGCGTGTTTTGGCCATCCGATACGGACAGATGCGGAACACAGAGGAGAGGGAGCGAGCGAGATAGAGCGACATAGATCTTGCTTTGTCTATCGATCACGGGATAAAAGCGAGGTGCGCCGTTTCCATAAACGCAGCCTAAAGCTCGAAGCCGAGCAGTTGGAGGCGTTGGAGCTACAACGCGATCATTGACTTGGCTGTTTTTGGCGTCGCCTAGGTGTGCTTGCCGCATCCGTTACGATGGTTGTTTGTAAGTTTGCGTATGATACTCTAAGTAGATTAGGAAAATGTCACCGCTGCGATGGAAATGTTTGAGGCGCGTGGAAAAACATCTGGCCCGCGTAAAAAAGCCTGGGATTAGACGCGATGAATCGATAGACGCGAGGATGTAATTGACCAGTTTTAACCTTTCCAAATATGCCCGATCTTTTTCTCTCGCGGCTTGCCACACCCTCGAATGTTATTAATAATTTCAAAATCGCCACTCGCGAACCGCTTTTCTGCCATATCGAATTGCGCGAATGTTGGCATCTTTGTTTCGAATAGAATGTTTACTTACACGACGATACTGATAGCGCATTTTTTTCCCGTATTACGCGCAAACAATATAATAATATATGGATTGAAGTAAATAAACCATGTAGAATTTTGAATTTAAATTTAACGTTGCTCTTCTTTTTTCTACAGGTCCATTAACTCCCGAGGTTCTCGATCAGCTACGTGCAAAATTTTATGCTGATAGTCGCAACGTATTGGCACAGAATGTCTGTACGAAAACGAATCCTATTGAGGCTTGTGCCTCAAGAAAAATCCTGGAAGAGACCCACCATGTCTTCACTCATAAAATTGAGACTGAGGGCAAGCCTGTAACTAATCAGAAAAATTCTGGAAGATGCTGGCTGTTTGCCATCCTAAACGTCATGAGAACTAGCTTCATGAAACAGCATAATCTAGACGAGTTTGAGTTTAGCCAAGCTTACCTATTTTTCTGGGATAAGGTTTGTTCATTTTTAGTACACGACATACGAGGTTGGGAAGTAACTAATTATTTGTAATTAAATTACAGTTAAAGTTTAGTAATTTTAAATTAATTTCGTCTTTTTTCTCAATTGTAATTATAACTTATTTATATTTTTTTTGTAAATAATAATAATTTGAATTATTTTAATATTTTACATATTTTAAATGTATTTATCAATTTAATGTGATTGGAGAATCTGAATAGTAGTGTTAGTGCTGCTATATTGGTTGTGTATAAGACAAAGGAGTTCAAAAGACAAACAGTAATTTAATTTTGCTAATGCTACTGATTCTTTATCTCTGTGTTAGTGAATTATCTTTATAAATATTACATTAGTAACAGTGTTTTTACAGTTTAATCTTGTTTATTATCAATGTCTATTGATTCTTTCTAAAAGGCCATCTACAATGAGATTAATACAGTGTAGTAAATAAAAAATTAATCACAATAGAAGTATATGTATGACTGCTTACTTATGCAATGTTGCTCCCAAAGAACGGCCCATAAAAGTAAATTATCTGTATGAGTATCATAAGACAGCAAGATATAAGTAGTAAGCAAAGTAATCACATTAGAGAATGTAAAGTTACTGTCTTACATTTTCTATCGTGATTGACTAATTTGCTTGCTGTTTATATTTTACTGCCTTATATTTTTCTATGAGTTTTTAGCTTAATTTTCTTTTTTTTTAAATATAATTGTATGTAAATAACATAAATCTTTTTCTTTATTGGTCCTAATAATATCAAAATATTACCTGTGTTGTTTTCTGTAACAAAAATAACTGAAAAGTAACTAACTCTAACTCGTTATTTTTTTAAGTCGCTAACTTCTAACTGTAACTAGTTACTTTATCTTTAAAAAATTAGCTGAAAAGAACGTGCCTTTTACAGTTAGAGTAAAAAAGTACTGAATTCCAATAGTTATTTAAACTCAACTTAACTCTCTATTAGAACAAAAGCATACTTGATTTATATATATATGTCGTTGGTTGCAAACACCGTCATTGTTCATTTTATTGTTATAACATTGCAGCCTGCTGTATTTCTTTTGTAGATAGAACGTTGCAATTACTTCTTGCACAATATCGTAAACACTGCGAAGCGCGGTGAGGCAGTCGAGGGCCGTTTAGTCAATTTCCTGTTGACCGATCCTACCTGTGATGGTGGCCAATGGGACATGATTGTGAATCTGATAACTAGACACGGTGTTGTGCCGAAAACGTGTTTTCCGGAATCATACAGCTGTGAGTCTAGCGTTCGTATGAATAGCCTGCTGAAAAGCAAGCTGAGAGAATATGCCAAGGCTCTGCGAGACATGATCGACAACGGTGCGTCTGATGATGAGCTGAAGACACGAATAAATGAGCAGATGACGGTAATCTATCGGATAATCGGCATCTGTTTGGGTGTACCTTCTGAGAAGATTACATGGGAATATTATGACAAGTCGAAGAATTACAACTGCGTGGGTCCGATCACGCCACTAGAGTTTTACGAGAATTGCGTGAAACCATATTACAATGTAAACGATAAAGTATGCCTGGTAACCGATCCACGACCGGGCAATCCTTATGGGAAACTCTATACCGTAGATTGCCTGGGAAATGTCGTGAGTGGGAAAACTACTCGCTACAATAATCAGCCAGTGGAATTACTGATGAAACTGTGCGCCGAGAGTATCAAAGATAACGAGCCTGTTTGGTTTGGTTGTGATGTTAACAAAAGATTAATAGATAAACATGGTATTCATGATATAAACACTTACAATTTCGAACTAATGTTCGGCACCGACATTCACCTTGGGCTTTCTAAAGCCGATAGATTGCTTTATGGAGATTCTATGATGGTACACGCAATGGCATTTACGGCTGTTTCAATAGATGTAAATATTTTCCAATATTTTTTTCTATATTGAATATATCAAATTTAAGCAATTTTTATTAACAGTTCAATAAAAAAAAATTTTATAATTATTGTAAAATTCTTTAATATGATTGATCTTGCTATTAGATTCTTATTGAATCTAAATATATAAACCAATTATATTAAAAAACAGTTGCAAAAAATTGCCTTTTCTGTTCAATGTTGCAATGATTTATCTAATATACGAATATTATTCTGTTTCAGCGAGAAGGTAAAATAAAGAAGTTCCGGATAGAGAATTCATGGGGCGAGGATCATGGTCAAAAGGGTTACCAGGTTGTGACAACCGAGTGGTTCGCTAATTTTGTCTTTGAGGCGGTCGTAGATAAAAAATACGTTCCTGCGGACGTGATGGCTGTATTCAATCAGGAACCAATCGTTTTACCTGCCTGGGATCCTATGGGCACGCTCGCTCATTGATGTTAAAGTGATTTAACTAAATGCGATGGCAAGCCGTTTTATTTTACAAAACATTTCAAGCATAACTCGAGAAAACGAAATATTTAATAAAAATTCCGGGGGCAGTGATTGTACAAATATACCAATATTTTATACCTTATACAAGAGAATGCAGCAGTATTGATAAGTGGCTTTGTATTAAGTCCATTTTGTTTATTACAGTATACGAGGGCAACGTTTAGTTAATCATCAAGACTGAATACATGAGTTACCATATTTGAAATCACGAAATAACTATCGTTTAACGCATGCGTTAAAAAACCGCAGTTTCCGATAAAAACGGAAGTATATTACGTTGTATCGCGTACTTTATTTGTAGGCAATAATGTATCTGTTTTTAACATAATTTATCATTTATGAATAACTAAATGGTTGTTTCAGTACTTCGTTTTTAACATGCGTGAAAAACTATATCTCTTATAAACAAAAATAATATAGACTATGCAAACAATTTCCCGTCATATTATATACCTGCGATTTAACAAATTTCTTATTTAAATGCTGTATTGTATAATATAGTATAGAAGCGCTCGTATTTCTGTGCATGTTAATTTTAAAAATTCGCACATGTACACATTACATAATAAAGCAATAGAGAGAAAGAAATAATATAGATAGATATGTAAAATTTAATAAAAACTTGCCGATATAATTAAAAATTTTTGCTCAATAAGCTGTTTTAAATTTATTACTTTCCTACTACTTTACATTCAATAATTTAATTTTTTAATCGAAAAGATAATGTTAAAGAAATTTTAGGACCAATATGTTTGTAAAATAATATATTATCAACATGCTTACAAAATGCAGATAGTAAATTTCCTAAATTTTTGAAGATATATGCAAAGATTTCAACAAAGATTTCTTTTGCTGTTTGTATTGCTTGTAACTATATCGCAATTTGGCCCATACACCCAGACACATGTTTTGGAGACGAACGTCCTTTTCTTTGAGTGCAAAATTGTAAATTCTCTGTATCATGTACTTAGGTGTAGTAAAATTGCCACATTGAATGAAACTTAAGGCAGCATACAATCTGCAACGGGCAACAAGGAGAGGATTGTCAAGGCGCATTGCCAATTCAAACTGCTTCACTGAAATTTTGCCTGCCATTTTAGCCTGTGTACAAGATATGTCAGATTAGTAAAAGCATATTACATAATTTGACAAAAAAGCCAACAGTAACTTACGCAGTGATCAAATTCTTCCCCCAATGCAGAAAACGCTCCTCCAAGCGTGGACAGCCAAGACATAGCATGATCAACTTCTTGTCTTTCTACAACCATTTGCATTAATTTTTCACTCCTAAGAAAGGATAAATGTAAAAGACTATAACAGTTTAAATTAGTGTTGTAAAATCACTACAAAACTTGCCATTTGTAATCCAGGAATTGACTTTTTGGTATTCTCAATCTTATAAGTATTATAAGCGAATGTTCTTCTTTAAATGGCTTGTCACATGCTGTCTGAAAATGTTTCAACACTGTCATAGCACTCTTACGATAAACGTATGACTTTGATATCATTGAAATATAGGCTGAGACGAAGTAGGAATTGAGTCCTTTTTTGCATAGACAAACTGGTTTTGTAAATCTACATATACAAAACTCATCATTATCCTCTAGAAATTGTGTAAACCATTCACTATGTTCTGTATACCTAAATACACTATGTAATTTGACCGTGACATCATCAAAAATCATACGGTCTCTATATACAATAAATCGTATGCGATTATTCATATTTTGTCTTAATTTACGAAATTCTATATATTTTGCAGTATTATTGCATTGGACTCTTCATGACACTGATAGAATCCATTTACAGAGTCCATTAACGAAAATGTATTTGGAGCTATTAGATATTTTCACAATTCGAGGATTATCTAAAATTGAGCTTTGCAAGCAAATTTGTACTTGAACTTCTAAATTCCATTGGCAATTGCTTGAATCATTCTCCAATGCGTCCATGACCGCTCGATAGAAATGAAAGAATCGTACGCGAGGAGTGTAAACATAAAATTCCTCTAGTTTAGCCAGCTGTTAAATCAATGATGCGAATTTCAACCCATTTGCAGCTAGTATCCCTAGAAATGAGAATCTGGTTAATTTTGTCTTATTTTTGATTGGCTTGATAAAAAATGGCGGCACCAATCAAATGATGAGCATGTGAAAAAAATTGAAAAGTACGTGAATGTTCAGCTGTAAAAAATTAATCATAATAAAACTAATCTGTGCTTCACGGGTTTTCTCCATGTCTTGGTCCATTCTTGATGTGCCAACGTTTCGTGGGCCTTGCAGTCCACTTCATTAGGACGAGGAGCAGCCTGATACGAAACGTTCATCAAGAATGGACCAAGACATGGAGAAAACCCGCGAAGCACAGATTAGTTATATAGAAAGCATCCATGGAAGCATCAAGAAGATAATCAATCATAATCTGTTATTCTCCTCACATTCTATTATGATTGCTCAATTTCTTATGGCTTGCAATTTATTTATACCCACACAAACTTGCATAGCTGCATAAACGTACGCATAAAGAAAATTATCCAATCATATTTTACGTGCGTCTTCATATGAGAAATGCAATTGGATAATTTTCTTTATGCATACGTTTATGCGGCTATGCAAGTTGTATGGATTTACCCTTACACTTATTTTCATTGTAAACGGCTCTTTATACAAAAGAGCCATATAACATAACCTCTATGCCTCTATCATGAGAGCGTGGTAAACTGTTGATCTGTGATCAAAGGTAACAGAAATCTGAATATTAAATTAATGAAAAAAATAGAAAAGTGATAATTTAAAAGATTCTAAAAACGTGGATTCAAAGAAGGAGACAGGAAAGGATCGGCTGTTGCATTACCCATAATAAGGTTATGTGATTATATACGGATAATCTAATAATCAAGATGCTAAAAACGTTCAGACTTGGTCACAAACTTTGCCGGGTTCATCGTGGTTCTAAGGATCCTGTGACGCGAGTGCAAAGAAGGCTATTCTTGTCGGAGGCGTATCGCTGCGAGGAAACATGGAGTCGTAGGCTGGAATCGCCGCTGTTACAGAAGATCGAATCGGCGTCGATGTACGTCCAGATAGAACAAAAGTATGGAAGCATCGGCAAAGTTAGCGCCGTCGACGTCGACATCTTTGTCAACAGTGTCACTGACAATCTGTATGTCGATGAGGTGATAAAGATTTTGCATAATCTCAGGCAATCTGTAGAAACAACGAATATACTGGATTCCACACATCATGCGGTAATACGATATTTCTTGCAGCACAATAACATCCAAGAATTGCTTGAAGTGCTAAATGACAGATTAAATTATGGTATTTTTCCTGATTATTTCGACTACAACATGCTCATGGATCACTTAATAAATAGGAAGGATTATACTTCTGCTGCAAAAGTGGCAAGTTTAGTCATGTTGCAGGAAGATGCAGGTCATCCTATCACTAATGCATTGTGCTTATATGCATGTCATAGATATCTAGAAAATCCTGATGATTGGAAGAAACCCGAGGTTCCAGTAGATACTTCAGAGGAAGTGAAAGTACGTGTAGGATATCTAAGAAATTCATACTTTGACGATCATTTTGATCTCACTGATCCGAAAGATCTTGTTGGCAAGACTCTAAACTTTCAGGGGAAGCATAGAACAGATGCTATAGGGAGATCTTGCCAATTAAGAGGCTTGATATTGTATAAGAAGTATGACGATGTATTAAACTTAATAAAGAAATGGTTAGAGATGAAGCAAGACAAAATAGTTTACGAAGATGTATTTGAATTAATATCAAAAGATAATAGTGGACTCCAAGATCAAGATGCTGAAAAGTTCAAACTTGTGGAGGCTCAATTGTCTATATTGAAGGAGAAACAAAATCTTAAAGAAAGCTTTATTGAAGCGATAGAGAATCTTGTTAAAGCGGCTATAAATGAGGAAGCTGAAAAGGATATTTCTAAACAATGTCAGGTAATAAATATTAATAAAAATAATTTTTTTTGAATTTAATTACTTAATATCAATATATACAATAAATTATAAAATTGCCAAATATACTCTGAATTTTCAGGCTTATCTCGATTGGGAACATAAAAGAATTTCAGTATTAGAAGCGCAAATGAAAGAAATAGACAAAGAAAGAAGAATTAATAATATCAAGAAAATAAAGGAAGATTTAGAAAAGAGAGAACAATTCTTGACATTCTTTGATAAAGAGGAAGAAATTGAATTGAAAATAGAAGAAATACAAGAAAAAGAACGCAAACAAGATGAACGTATTCATGCCATGCACAATAGTGCAAAGCATTTAAGAAAGTTAATTACTACAGAGTCCTACATACCACCGGACATTAAAAGTAAGAAATAAAAGTGTATTATATAAAAAAAAGGACATATACACATATGTATAGAGAATCAGAACAAAAAAAAATCGGAACTGTTGTCTCATTGTACTTTGATATTATGTGTGTGTGTGTGTGTGTCTCATATATATTTATCTTATGAAAGTAATTTTCAAGGAGAGTATAAAATATTAAACGTTGATTTTACCCTTATACACATTCTATATTTTGTACATGTTCTTTGTTTGAAAGTGATGTTTTAGCAATTATTTTATTTACAGCCGCAAGTCAGATCTTCAAGTTGCGAGAGATACGAAAGTTGAACTCGATACTAAAAAATTATTAGGCTTTATAATAAATAATGTCTCTTTGAGCATTGATGTTAATAGCATGTTTTATACTCTTGGCCCGAGGCTAATAAAAGCCTAATGCCTGACGACTCCAGACCAAGGCACGTTTGTTTACAGTTAACTTAGTAGATTCGTGGAGACTCTCACGAGCAATATCGCGTGATATTCTGTTGGTTGCGTAGCTAAAAAATGTTTGGTCTTTAATGCATTCGATCGTATTCGTTTATATTCTGTAAAACAGTAAAAAAATGTCTTTATAATTTAGGTTATCTTATAGAGAATTCAATATGTTTAAATATTTCTCTACACAATTATCGTAAAAAATGAGTTTCATACCTGTATTAAACTCCCATCTGGTCCTGAACATTACAATTCGCAAAATGACGCTGTACTGTACATAACAATCACGAGGCTTTACTTTGAAGTTGTGCGGTTAATGCGGCGGTTTCTTGTTTCATTTGTTTTAAATCGGCAGTTATTCTTTCCAAATTAGCACCGACGTTTTTCGCGGACTCGGAATCGATCTGAATAAATGTTAGATTGAATGTTAATTTTCTGGGCTACATAAACCTACTTTTCTTAATCCTTCTATCATTGCATCTTACCTGTTCTTCCAAATCTCTGATTTCTCGTATTGTCGCACCTGTTTCTTCAACTAAACTTACAAGTTCATTACAGTCTGAATGTAACGTCGCTAATAATTTGTAAGCCTTCCGCGAAGCTTCGTTTGTTCTTGCATCTCTGAATATTAATTCATCTACGACGGTAAAGGATCTCTCCAATCTTCCGGTAAGCGTATTGATTTCCTTTTGAATTTCACGAGTATCTGCCAGAACCTTGCTTATCTCATCTCTCTGTTTCCTGACATTATTTATTATTTCTAAAATTCGTTGGGTGTATGCAGATCTATTTACTTCCTTAGGAAGTTTCTGAACTTCTGCGACCAACTGTGAATACTGTTGGTCTTTATTCCGACATTCTTCTTGAAGTTCTTTTTCCTTCTCTTTTAACAATTTTATCTCGTCCAGTTTCTTTTGGCTCGCGTTCTATAATAAAAATGTAATCATTTTTTTAAATATAAATGACTCTTATCTCAAAATTTACTTAATTTTGTATACTTACTGCTTTTGTGGAATGCTTCTCTCTTTCTTGTCTATATTTCATGATTAAGGGCACCCTATGTTTTTCCCATTGATTTGCTAAATTAATCAATTTGCTTGTACTAGCCTCAATTGCAGATTCCAATTTCTTTACATTCTCTGGCCCATCTTGAAGGAGTTCGTATGCTTTTGCTTTGATTTTTTTTTGTTCCTCATTGATTTTTAATTCCTTCTCTTCATTTTGACCAGTTATTGTTGCTTGAGCTAATCTGGTGGTCAATTTTTTAATTTCGTTTTGTAATTCTTCTATATTTATTCTAAGACTTTCACATTCTGCTTTCATCTTTTCTGTTTCAACTTCCTGTTTCGCCTGATTTCTTAATGTTTCTTGATCTGGAAGCACTGGATGCATTGTAGATTCTGGTTTCACCTGAGATTCCTAAAAATTTAATGATCGTAACGAATATGTAAAATATATAATAGTTATTTTCCATTTATATCAAAATTTAGATAATTCTTATTTGTGATATCATAACTCAGTTGAATGCACGTTTCCTTTTCGTTCTGGCAAGTGAGGCTCAACCGTATGCTTTATTCAGTCTTGTTAACTCATATTAAAAGTGAGATTATAAACTTGTCTTGTAGGTATAAAAATACCAATGTAAGCGAGTACTGACGTCATTATCCGAGTATAAAATACTCGTATAATTTTAGATTCAGTATCACTTATATGAAAACGGAAAGCAACTAATCAGCTATAAAGTATATATACAAGATAAGAATATCTTGTATGCTTACTGTTGAAGTTTGTGTCTTCTTCTCTGACGAGAATTTGCTAAACTCTTTAACAATATTATACGCATTAGAATAAGCAGGTTTTTCAGAGTGTTGGCTATTAAGCCAATTTATGCGTTCCATAATATCTGTCGGAGAAGTATTAAGCGCTTTTGCATTGTACAATATCATTGAAGGTAAAAAGCACGCAATGTCTTGCATTTGTTCAGGCACTGGTTGTAAATAGCGCATACAATAGTCTTTATAATCTGCAATAATAACGGTCGTCATTGCATTAACATTATCTGGCAAAAGTAATCCAAGTAATATTAATATTGCATTACCATCTTCGATATTTGCTATTGGTACTTCGATATTTACAGACACATAAGGGTCATTCGCTCTTCCTCTATTCCTAAATCCCTGTTTATGACAATAATGCGGTAACCATGGTATGGAGAGTCCTTGGGATATTGTAGATGCTACCGATTTCTCTAATAAAGCGACTTTACTGATGGATTCGTTTACGGTTTTCTCAGTCTCCTTTGGCAGTTTTTCAATGAGAAACATAAATACTCTTCGCAGATCTGCTTCTGAGTTATATAGGAATGTCTGATAACCGATGTCACCTCTGTATCCAAGCTCCTATAATTTTGATTAGATAATGGAAATAAGCAAAACCACATGAATATATTTTGGTCTAAGACAAAATATATTTACCATGCATGTTTGTGCAAGAGTAGCGCCCAGTCGAAAGCGCGCTGCCATATTTACAGGTAATATAGTAGACAAACCTAAACCCGGCCTTATTGCTTCTAAGCATCTTACAGTGGCTTCCACAACTAGTTCAGTGTTAAAGCTACTAAGATTCGTTATGTTCTCTTCAATGTCACTGAAAAGAAATATTTACTTGTAATAATCAAGGAACTAAGAAACACAAGAATCAAGAGGGGTTCATTTATCACTGCGTTAGAATTTTCTTTCTTGCTTTTGCCAAATATATACCTATTTCACTTCAAGTAAAAAAAGTGCATACTAGTTCAGCTATAAAAAAATAGACTTATACTCGAGAGACTTATGGGATGTTATAAAATTTATCTAAGGCGAAAAGGCAGTAGGTATCTATTTCATTCTACTTCAGCAATAAAAACAGACATACAATCAACTTTGTGGCACATTATAAAATTTCTCTAAAGCAAGAAGATAGAGAAAATATCGTCTATTTCATTTTTATACTTATAAGATAAAATATCTCGCGAACTGAGAAATGTAGGAGTCATAGGCGACTCGTGGCATCTTCTGGAGTTTCTTCAAAATAAGAAGATAGAAGGTATCTATGTCATTCTTATTTTTATAAGGCTTTTCGTGTTATATTAATATTTTTCTGAGTATTAACTCAATAATTTTCGTCTGTTTCGAAATCAACGATTCAATGATGTCAAAAGACATGATCGTGCGGATGAGCTCACGTGCGCGATGCCTCTATTCGCGAGGATATCGCCGAAACACCGCCCACCTTATCGCCGCCGCAAGGAAAAAAATCAGTGGCGAACCGATCGGAGCCGCTGAATCTGGACACTTACCAGCCTATTTGTCGCAACGAGTGAATTATTATATTGTCGATCTCCTCCATCCTACGTAAAAAGATGAAAACTCTGAGGCGCCGCTACCGCCCCGTTGTATCGCGTGTTTATAAGGTCCGGCTCGATTTAATCATCAGGATCTAACCTTCCGGCGAGCGTGACAAGCGCTCGCGAGCGGACATTTGCACAGCACGCGCCTGTGTGTCAGGTGTATGGTATGTATGTATTTATGTATGTATGCACTGCAGTGTATTAATTCGCTGGGTCACAGTAGCGGCCCGACTTATCGACGTTTATTTTTTATTCAAATACTATCAACTTTACAGAAAAACTGCAAGAGACAAAAATCATTTATTTTCTTCTCATAGAACTCTAAGAATTCTTTCAGAATTTTTTATCAACTTTTTAGTACTGCATTTTCTTATTTTCGATAAGTCAGGCCGTCACTATGACCCAACGAATTAATGCACTGCACTGTACATACGTGTGTATTTGTTGACAGGTGGCGTGGCAACATTTCAATACTGCCAATCGGAGGCATTTTTGCGAATTTTCTGACAGCGGATGAATTCAGGGTATCAATCATGAAACTTTATTCTTAGGATGGAAAGTAAAAAATGAACATTTTAACCATTGAAGGTAATGGAGAAATTTTTCACTTTTCACTTTTCATCTTAGGAACAAAAAAATTTATAATACAATATCTTTATATCAAATCATTTTATAAATATATGAAATGATAATGAAACTAATACTTAGCAAAAAATTCGTAAAATTTATCGGAAAACACATTAAAAATGTAAAAAAAAGCGTCGAGTATATTTTGCAGAAAAAAAGATACGAAAGATAATGGCGTAAAAAAAGAAGTAAAATTAAAATAAAATATTTCAAGTATCTCTAAAAAGTCACAGAACACAGTTCTTCGAGCGGCATCTTGAAGGCATTCTTATCATGCAGGCGTCCTTTGAGTACCTTTAAGACGGTGTTACATGGAATAATTTCTTATAATTATAACCTACATCGTAAGGGTGCTTTCAAGATATCACTCGGAGAACTGTGTTCTACTTTTTAAACAGGGACTTTTTAAACAGAGATATATTGAAATATTTTATTTTATAATATTTTAAATATAAATTATTAAATATAAAAATATTTTATTTTATATAAAAATTGTATTTTGTAGATCTTACATGTGTTTATACAAAATCGAACGTTTCGGCTCCGTTTCGAGTCATCAACGATGTTCAAATATTAGTTTCAACATTCGCACTTGCAATTCGCGTGTTCAATTCCAAGAATGTAGCCTAGAGAACCTCTTTAATTTCATCATTGTGAAGCCTCTTTTTCAATTAATAGCGGCTAAATGATCACTAATGAATGACGTACTGAATTAATCTATTGAACGTTATAAATAAAAATGTTCAAAGGACTCATCTTGAGCTGCAATCTTGGAATCACACATTAAATACATTCAAAAAGAAATATTGAGACAAATCGTTAAGAGAACTTGCGCTTACAGAATATAACTTTGAAATGATAGTTGTAGCATGAGTCAGAACATTGAAACATTGTCGAATAACAAACAGATTGTCTTTATAGTGTCAAAAAGAAATCATGATTTAAAAATGTATATAAATAGACAACTACAATAAATTAAATTAAATTAAATATGTCACTATGTACTAAATATGTCAAATTTTATTTAAATGTTGAAATAAACGTGGCATAGGAACTCACAATATCAGTTTTTTAATTTAAACTGTTTTCTTGATGTGAAGCATCATTTCGTTAACTTCTTCTCAGATATCTTTCTTTATCTAAGATGATTGTATTTTTCCATTTAAATTCATGTTCACAATCAATTCTATATTCCGTGATAACAGATGGATTTCCAGTTTTAGCTTTAGAGCCTCTTCGAGGGCAGAGGTTCGCTTATTTTGTATTTAATAGTGGTTGCATTCTTATTCTTTAGAGTTTATCAACACTCAAGGGAACTGTAGTTTAATGAATTCGAATGGCGAACGCGAAAAATCTCTGATGGGTGAGGCACCCAAAATTTTCGACATTTTACTAAAGAATTTTATTAAAGAATCTTAAACAATTCTATTCTTTGTATTTTATGTGAAATATTGAATTTAAAATATTTAAGTTATTCAAACGGCTGTGAAATCTTTTTAATTATACTTCAAAATTTTTTATATAAAATATATAAACTTTTTATTTAATTTTATTCACATTGTCTAACTTATACATAGAATAAATTAAATAATATATTAAATTATTATTATTAATCAATTCAAATTATTTAGATAATATAAAATTTTTTTATTAAATTTTTAAAAAGATTTCATACAAAATACAAATGATGACAATATAAAAAATTATTTAAAGAAATTATCGGTTAAATTTATACGAATTTAGTTTCTGCAGAAACTTTCAAAAATTTATATGTGTGTCAAATACACGTTATGAGTACAATATGAACTTTTTACTTAACGGTTCTCTATACTAACAAGAGATAATTTAATAATGTTGCATTAGCGAATGTCGTTACAGAAAATTTCTCGTGAAGGCCTTTCGCTATGTGGGCTAATCAAGCGATTTGAATAATTTTATTTGAATGAACCATAATCGCACTGCAATTGTATATGCAAATTTGTTATTGTTCCTTAATTCACTCTCTTTGATTATGTTATTTCAAGATCTTTTATTTAAAATTACACAAAATGCTTGTCGGAAATGTGTGTGTGTCATCATTATATTACTCTTATATTTAGGAAATATTATGTATAGATTTACTACAAATCTTGCTAGCAAAGTACATAGAATCTACCATAACCAAAATAAAAAAAAAATTTTGATATGTAATCGTGATTATGTTATTCTACTAATATATTACTCCTTCTAACGTGGACCTCCCACTATCGCAAATCAATTAAAATATTTTTATGGAAGAATTTTATTCACTTATTTTATATATATATATTGTTTTATATATATATATATATATATTGTTTTATTCTGCAGTTTAATAAATTGTACTATATAAACCGGAATAGTATTAAAAATGTTTTCAAATTACTATTAATGATATATAAAAATCTAAGGATTGTCTTCGGGAAACGAGGACTGGTAACTTTATCATATCGTGAGAAAACATGGAGCTTTCTAATTGCTTAACACATTTTAACACAAATGTACATAGGAATGTAAAAAGTGTAGTAATGCACGATTTAAATGAAATAGAATGCATTCGCTGTACACTGTCTGTTTTGGATAAAGTTAGATTAAATGTAACTTCTTCTCTTTGTATTGAATGAAAAAAAGTAAGAATATCGATTACCCAACGTCTTGAATGGCCGCCGCATTTAGTAATATGTAATTGTTATTATAGAAAACACAAGCTTAATTACACAGCCGATTAGTAGCTCTCGGGCTGAATACGAATGTATAGTATTAACTATTGTGGCAATTGGAATACAATTTGTGTTGCCGTGTGCCGTGTGTGTGACACGAAAGTGTCTAATAGCGTTTTTCATTGGCAGAATTAGTGTGCACTCAATGCACATTAAAGCTATTATACACTATTCTAATCTAAATATAAAAGTAAAATATCTCAATTGATAAAATACCCAATATGTATTTTACCAAATAGCACAATAAAATGTATTAAATATTTCGCGGTATAATTCGTTTCTATATTTTTATTAAACATACTTTATATCAATTTGTGTACAACGGCTTAAAGTGCACACTAGTTTTGCCAATGAAAAACGCTATAAGTTTCAATTAGGAAGTATCTACGATGCAATAAACGCATTTCTCGTTTTGAAATCAAATTGCGCGCCAAAATCTTATTGCGGCGCTGAAGTTGGCTGCGTGCGGCGCCGACGCGGCGCGCACGACGCGCGGCTAACTTCAAGCGCCGCGGTGAGAGATCAATTATTTGCGGCCAGTTCGCTCCGCACCGCTCCACTCTGCACCGTACCGTTCCTTGCCGTTTTGCTCCGCTCCGCAGAGCGCAGTAGCGCACAGTGTGCACTGTGCGTTGTTCTGTGCGCGACGCGGTAAGCGGTTGTACGCAGCGTGCTCGCTCAGCTGTTGTCTCGGCTGAAGTGAAGTGACAGTGCCGCATCGGTGTAGTGCACGATGTGGAAATCAATCTCGTGAAGGCGGCGGCGACGGTCGAGGTGGCCCGCGGTGAGTGGCAGCGCGTTGTAACTGCTGCTGCTGCAAATCCGTGAGTCGGGAAAGATGAACGGGAGTCTGGGGATAACGCGCGGTCCGGAGCAACATCCACAGCGGTTCGCGGATTACTTTGTTATATGCGGCCTCGACAAGGACTCGGGTCTTGAACCGGACAAGTACTTCGGTGAGTCTTTTACCTCATTCGCGCTTTCCTTTTGCGCCCTGACACCGCTCTCCTCGCTATTTCGTAGCTCGTTATTCTCGGCATGGAATAAAGCGAGAGAGAAAGAGGGTGAGAGGGACAGAATGTTCTACAATCGAAATAGAGCTTAATAGTCGTGAAGGATAAAATGTCAAAGATATAACGATGGTGTTAAAAATGATTCTTCATTCTGAATGTAATCTAGAATATAGTATATAATAAACAACAAATAGATATTATTCTGCAGATCTTTGTAAGAGGATTGCAATAATTCATCTAAAGGGTGCGACTATTGCATACAGTATGTTTCAAAATTATCAATTCACTTTGATAAGCATCAAAGACTTATCTAGAGCGACAATTGTTTCAATGTCAACAATAATTCCGACTACGATAGGAGTAATTAAGTCTTCACGATGTGTGTCTGGCGAAAATTTCAATTACTGTTCACAAGTTTAATGAAAAATTTCATTCGCAATAATTGGGCAGTATTACTCGAAGTTTAATTAATTTGTCAAACGATACTTCGAGCAAATTGAATTTAAAATGCATCTTATCTTGAGTAGGCTACCTGTGTGACTCATATTTGAATTTTACAAATTAATGTATTTTGCGAGTCACACACATACGCGCGCGTGCGCACATACACACACACAACGCACACAATAGACAATGCAGAATTAACAGAATGAAAGGCGCGCGTTTTGTTTTAAGTGCACATATAAATAAGAAGTGGGTCTCAGCAGTACTTTCTTGAAATTACTTTCTTGAACTTTCTGCATTCGAAATGAAACGAGGCTTTCGGGGGAAGAAGAGAACGAAGAACAATATAGAAAGCACAGTTTTCCTACGGACAATGGGAACATTGACAATTGATTTTTCTTCATGGGAGTATCTGAGTTCAGCATGCGGAATGGACCGCTTGGCCTTTTGTTGTTAGGCAACTGTACATACTGGATACCTTGCAATAGGAAGCCTCACAATACGTGAATGTGCAGCAAACGACGACCCTCCTGAGAAAACGCTAGGACGGCTTTCTACGAAAAAAATCGTCTCAATGAAAGAATTCTCCCTTGAGAACTCCCGTGACTAAAAGGGCCTTTGTATCCTTGTGACGAGTTGCTTGTCCTGCTGTCAGCTGTTAGATTACATTGTTTTATGAGCTTTGGTCCGTTGAGATTATTTGCCACGGATTTTAGTCTTGAAAATTGCTTGAGTATCTTAGTCTTGAAAATCGCAGATGAAACAGGAATAGTTTTTTTGAATAAATCTAGAGTAGTAAATATTTAGGATTTTTACGGAAGTACATATTTTTTGGCAATCGAATAGCGAATTTATTTATGTATTGTTTTAATATGATGTAATATTTATAATATAATCGAATTATATATCGCGGATTTGTGTAAAGTTTTAAGATTAACTCTTAGCGAGATTGGCAGCCAACATCCGTAGCGTAAAAATATCCATAAAAAAGAAGACTCGTGCCTGAGAGTAAGGTCAAAGTTTACATATGAGGAAAAAGAGCGAGACAGAGAGACTTTATACTACATTTTACATTACACAGGATATTCCATAAAAGTTCTCTAAATAACGAATATATTTCGCATAATTAATAGCAACCTTAATAAATCTAAACAATTTTTAAGATAAGATTGTTCGCATATATTTTATTATTCAGATAAAATAGAACAGAGAAATCTGTAATAATATTTTAACAGAAGTCTAATTTTGAAGTAAAAAAATTTGTCTAATATTTCTCTATATGATTTCAACTATTGGTTACCTCTTATTGCATTGTTGTTTTATTCTGGTTTTGTTTTGTAGTAAGCTTTGTAACAGCAATTTTGCTAACCATTTGCAACCTACTATTGTCTATTGTTGTTAACTATAGTCTATTGTATCATTTTATGTCTATTACTTTATTAACATGTAGTCTTTTTCATAAAGCTTTGCAATAAATTAAATTAAATTAAATTAAATTAAAATTAAATTAAACTTTTCTAGTCTTTCTCAAAATATTAGAGAAAAAAGTGATTATAATGTAGGCGTCTGTTCTGGTAATGTGAACTACATTAAAATTCTGTTATAATTAACATCATTTCTTTTAAAACATTTTTAACTTGTTTTTAGATAGATATTGAAGTTGTGAAACAATTACACTCTGATGCAATTTTTATTGACAATTAATGTTTATCTATTACGAGGTAATTATCAAAATTATTTCATACGATTTTCAGTATCAATTAATGTGATTTAAGTTCTTAAATAACGAGTTCATATCGTATTAATTCAAAATAGAAGATGCTATTCTTCTATTTTGTAATAAGTAAAAAAGCTTGAATAATTATATTTTCGCTGAGATATAATTAAATAACAAGGGTATTATAAAGCATTGTTTTTCGTTAAAAATCTTTATGATTATTATTTAAAAATGATTTTGAGAAGTCCTTAAAGATATTTGCGAAATTGGAAAGAGGTGTTCAATGATGGTTAAATATTCGCGAAGACGAGATCATTCTAAGAGTATTGCTTGGAGAACATGTTTATGAAAAGAAACATTTTAATATTAATATACGTTGTCGACGTTTAATATTAATATACGTTGTCGACGATAATTTATTAAAAATTTATTAAAAATTTAGTAAAAAAAATAATTTCTTCAATTTTAAAATAATTTCTTAATTTATAATGCTTTCTTCGCTTTTTTTTTAAATTATTATTAAGCTAATTTTTTCATAAAGTTGCGCATGTCAATAACTGATGATTGTCAATACGACACTTTATTCAGTTTGTTTAGTTCTTCATTTTATGCTTCAAATATGAAATCCAATAACTCGGTTAATTAGCGAGTGAGCGAACGAGAAATTCTCGATGTTAAAAGTATTTTGTATTCGTTAAACATGCAAATCGAAAAGCATTTCTTCTTGTTCGCAAAAATCTATTATACACGGTATGTTAAACATAGAAAATGTATATATTTTTCGATATGCAGTGAGAATAATTTTTAAAAATTGAATATTATCGTATCTCTTGAATGTTTTTTCTACTCTCTAATTTATAGAGTAAATCTCACTGCTAAAGATTGAAAATTGAGGTACTCTTTTTCAAGACTGGCTCAATTTTCATTCTTTAAAGTGAGATTTCACTCCAAAGAATTTAAAGAGTATTGTTTAATTAATTGATACATCTTATTGTTACATTTTAATCTTAAAGCTAATAATACTTTTTGTTTATTACATATTGTTCGGCTAGCTTACTTTATTTTTCTTTCGTTTATTTTTAACAGACTTGTCTAGTAATCTCCGTATGGTTTTTATTTTTTTTTTTCGCAAATATTAGCTGTCCATATTTTCATGCTTTATTCTTTTCATTTAGGACCTCACCCTTCTTTACGTACGTCTGAACAATGATCTGCAGAAGGGTCGTATTACCCCTAAACTTATTTTTAGTCTGTTAGATTTTGGGTATGAAATATTATTGGTGCTATAAAATTCTCTTTGTATGTTTTACCCTAATACGTTTTAAATTTAGACTTATTAATTATAACGAAAATCGTTTAATTTAGGGGCGCCACAAATGTAACACAAGCAAATTTGTTATACAAATAATTAAAAGTTGTAACAGATAACTTAACGTTTAAATGATAATAAATTTTAAAATAATTAAAGTTTTATATTTAAATAAATTTTAATTAAAAAATTGTATATTATTGAATAAATTTCTGAAAAGTTTTGATTTCTGAAATATTTAATCATTCACTGCTTAAAAATTTTAGACGTTTAATAAACTTTTTTTTTGCGCGAAACGAATTATTTCTTTTTATTTATCAAAGAGCATAAACATTTGTTGTACGTTTACGTGCATATGCATCGTATGAGACTTGGTCCTATAACTACTCTTCCGCCTTTTAAACGCATACTTAAGTGCCAGTAGCCCCTTCAACAAATGACCCCATATATGATGACATCATACGTGTTCGTAAGAAGGGGAGAGGCAACTTATTCGGATACGACACTTTTGGAAAGCGGAGTATACGAGAATGAAACAAAAAAATACAATTCTCGCAACTTTGGCATAAATCAGTTTTGCGATTTTGTCTTTTTTAAGTTTTTAGATAATGTTTTAATAATGTGTATTTTTGTATAAGAGAATCGTAGAACATCTGTTAATAAAATAACTTATTACTAAATGTATGTGCATTTTTTAATTTTTAATATATGCATTTTTTTCATTATTGTTTAATATAAGCTATAATTAGTTTGTTTTTATTTAATTAATTAACATAGAAGAAAAATCAGATTTTTCATAGATACTTTTATGAAAGCCGATAGGATTTAAAAATATATATATATTATTTTTTAGAAGAGATTGGAAATTGATTTAATAAACTGCTTTAGAAATCTCTTATTGTCTAGTAGATTATTTTTTAATTTGTTAATTTATAATGTCGTTGTAAAAAATGTTGTAATTTTATGTTGGAATTTAGATGTTTAATGTCAATCAAAATTATATATTTAACCTGATTATCATAGGTTATATACGCGTTAGGGTCAACGATAATTTTTTATGACTGCAGATAAGATTTTCTTCCACAAATGATGCTTTCTAACGTAAATCTCGAAAAGAGTAGAGAATACTATAAATTATATACTCCTCAATGTTGTTAAAACGATTTCCATTTTCCAGAAAGTTAATTAATTTCTCACAGAAACTCTTAATTAAGCATAACTCTTCTAAATTTTGTTTTATCGCATATTAAATACAACTATATATGATATAATACTATGAAATAATTATTTTCTAAAACTTTAGTTCTTTCTTTCACTATAAATATTCTCAACGTAATTGATTTATAATCAAGATTAATTGGTAATTAGTTACGATTAAAAACTTTGTTTACAATGGAAAGATTTTAAAATTAAAAATATTTGTGAATTTATGATATCCTTCCAATAAAAATGTGCAATAAATTTACAAATCGT